AGATACAGGGTGATTCATCACAGTTTAATGTCAAAGGTCAAAGCTGAATAAAAACAAAATTGCCAGTTATGTGCTCTTGGTTTCTAGAAATGAACCAATGTGGATTGCAATACACAAGTGCATGGAAGCAATGCTAGGATTCTCTCTGTATAGCTATCTTTATCCCAAACTAACAAAAACACTATGTCTTTCTTATTATCTCTTATCTTTTCTCTTCAACAAAATTGGAGAAGAGGGTGGAACAGGGGTTGGAAGCAGGGGTGTAGGAGTGTGGGGGTAGGTGGCACAAAAAAATATATACACATGTAAGAAAATGTAAAAATGATAAAAGAAGAAAAAAAGCTACTAATTCAGTAGTTTAGGCTGATGAGTGTTAAATGTTGAGATACAATATTTTAATAGTACATAAAGCTACAAAATACAAAGCATTTTTTCTCCTAATGGAACTCAAATATACTTCCTTACCTCCTGTAAAAATCATTTTAATACATTGAATTGTATTGTCCCAAGATCCTTGTATAAGGACACATGCTAAGAATTGTTTGTTTGTTTTTTTTTTCTCAGATAGTCATAATGAGCTAACTCATTGTGTTTGCCTTTCTGGCTTATTCTCAGAAAATTTGGTGATAAGGTTCATGTTTCATTTGATCTATTTAATTCCTCTTAAAAAGACTTAAATGGCTCTTTCTATTTTAACAATTTTAATGTCCTTTTATAATAAGCCTCCATAGAAATAACATATAAGGCTCAAATTAAAAATAAGGACAATTTACCAAAAATTGCCTTCATAAACACAAGCTAATTGAGATTCAGGATGCTTAAGAGTCATATAACAAACAACAGCTAAAGTTGGAGATGTGACCTGCACACATTTGTTTCACAGAGACTAGAAACCTTAAGGAGTTAAATTAGAGGTTTAAGTGTGGAAGTTAAGAGTGTAAGTTGGAGGCTATAATGCAAAAGGTAAAAAATAAAAATAAAAAAAAAATACATACCCTTGCTAGAAATAACCACAAGCTGCCAGAGTTCTTACCCTAAGTTGTTTGTGGTGGTCCTGCAGTATCTCTGGGTCAAGGTGAGAGTCAACAGGTATAATTTCATTTTTCCTTCTGTCAATGTTCTCCAGCATAAGAAGCAAACCGTGGCTCATTTCATGGAAATCCTACAAAAACATACAAGTATAAAGTAACTACAGAGGATATATTTTTTCAGAATTATTTCCATTCTTTCCAATTGCTGCCATTGGAAAACAAACATCGGTCTTAAGATAGGATACACAGCTCTTTCCTGAGGAAAGCCCTGGTGCTCTTGTAATGACCTGACTGTGAGTTCATCTATTACCCAAAACACTGAATTATTCCTTGGGGGAAAATTTAGGCACAAGTAAGTTGGCAGCACAATACTCAATTTCTGGAAGAAAAGTAGTGATAATACACAGCGTGGAAGGAAGGAGCTCTGCTCTTCTCTGTGTGTGCCACTCCTCCCAGTTTTTTATACCTAAGGCCAATCTCAGATCCCACTCACTCATCACTTACTCAATGTCCTTGTGCAAGGAGTAAAAGCCACTGTATTAGGATGCCATGAGGACAACAGCTTGAGTATCTGCTTCCAAGGAAGCTTCAACTCCTTTACCCTCCCCATTGTGCTTAGAACGTGACGCAAACTCCTGGCCCAGGCCTTCAGTGCCTTGAGGATCTGGTACCTCCCTGCTCCTCCACTCCTGATCATTTCCTGCCTTGCTGACTATGTTCTGGCCACAATGCCTTCTTTTCTGTTCCTGCTTCTGGGACTTTCCATTTATCATTTCTCCTTCACAGCAACATTTTTTCAGCATCAGCTCAGAGATCCACAGAACTTCCCTGAGCGCCCTCTTGAAGTAGTTTTTCCTCAGCTACTTTTCTCACCAGGGTCTGTGAGAATACTTAAGTCCTTGCTTAAGGATTCCTTTGCAGTTTGTTTTGGCTTCCCCCCAAAAAGACGAGGCTATACCGTATCCAATTGCTTAGTGCCCTATCTGGTATGCCATAGAAACTCAAAATAATGGTGACATGAATGGATGAATAAATACCTGTAATGCTTACTTGGCTGTTCAAAAAGTGTCTGCTTACATGCTCAGTAAGTACGTGTTCAATGAATAAATGAAATAAACAAATGAGTAAAGAAGGAATGGCAGGACAAATGTGGGAACTGTCTCTTTTTAGTTGAATGGAAGATGGACTGAACATGGTCACATACACAGATTCTCTGCTAAAATGAAAATTTACCTCATTCAAATACCAACTTTGGGGACAACTCAATCCTCAAGTAACTGTGATATTAGTGTGTGGCTCTGAGTTATCACCTGCCCAAAGCAGGTGACCTACTGACCTGGCACTGCAGCAGTGCATCTTGTAGCAGGCCCCGCCAGTCCTCCAGCAAGGAGCACACTCGGTCCCAACGCCCATTCATCTGGGACAAGCGGTCCTGCAGGTCGTGGCTTTCCTTACTGTCAGTCTGGGTGAACTCGGAGCTGCAGAGATTGATGGAGAGGATGATGGCTTTGCGGTGGTCGACAGCTTTCTGGAGCTCCTGAAAGAGAAAGGAGAACAATCTAGCAACCACAGGCATGACTAAAACAATTTTTATTAAAAAGTAGTCTAAGACTCTTAAAAAAGTTTCACTCACCAAAAGGCAAGGCACAACAACATCATCCCAAATAAATAGCATATACTAAAACCACAGGAACACAAAAGGAGCACACTTAATTTTGAGCCTGGAGAACTTGGGTGGCTATATTCTGAGGAAGAACACATCTTGGTGTTCTCCAAACTGAAAACAGGAGCTGTCACAATATTAAACAGAAACTGAGCTCACGGTCTACAGGATGCTTAAATTTCCACGTATGAACGCAATTCAGGAAAACGAGGATTTTTAAGATCCAGAGCTGGAGGTAAGGGAAGCCATTTGTGTACTACGCCCACCCAGGCCAAAATCAATCCACATGGCAATGTTTTACCACAAATCAACAGTTTTGTTTTTCTTTACTCATTATCATACAACTGCTTTTGCCCCTACTACAGTCAATTTCATAAGTTTTGCTGATTTGAGATCAAATTATTTCATCAAGATCTCCAACAAATGCACACAGATACAGTCTTGGAAAGGTTTTTTTTTTACAGCTCTAGATAGAGATCAGGGTTCTGATCACACCCATATTTCCATTACAAAGAGGCTAAATAGGTCCCAGAGGTACCTGGACCTTTCACAAAACTTTAACTGCTCATTTCATAAAATACCAATTAGTTAAATTGTAAGTGATAATGCACGTGGGTGATAGCTCTACATGGTGGTCCATATTTCTACCTCTCAAAACCATGTTTAAGAACCACTTGGATTTGGGATGGCTGGAAGAGAGGTGAGCATTCTTGCTATTTTTGTTAGACACTTTCCCTGCTATTGTGTGGGGGTAATAAAACTAGAAGTAGAAGTTCTGAAGGGATGTGACATGTGGTGGCTTTCTGATTGGCTGATGTGCACCAGGGAAAGCTACCTTGAGCTTTTTGATTTGGAGCTCGATGGTCTGGATGTCAGTGCTGAGCTCCAGGCGCTGGAGCTGGTCCAGTTCCTCCTCCGTCTCTCCCAGCCAGGCCCAGATGTTGTTCAGGTCTGAGTTGAACTGCTGCCACTTCTGGAGGTTCTGCTTCATCCTTAGCTCCTTGCTCAGTGCCTGGGCCTGTAGGAGCTCCCATCGGTCAATCACACCTGGCAGGACATAAGTGGGTACATGGTGCATTTATCCTTGTTGCTTCTTTAATGATTTATCCTCAAGTTAAAAAAAAATAGCCACATAGGATCAATTCCATTCTTGGTCCCCTTCTACAACAGGACTCTGAGAATACACTTGTAAAAAGGTGACTAGAGTCATTAGAGATGGTGCACTGTAATAAAGGAGACATGCAGAAGGCTACCATGATGTTCTCCACTTCCCTCCCCTGTCATGGAAGGTCATTTGAGGATGAAGAGGCGGCTAAGCAGCTCCATGGAAGGAGCATGTCACAAAGTCCTTCAGGATCTTGTGTCACACTCTTTCTTGAACCGAGTACAATGCACTCACCAGCTGTCTGGGTTTCGGTGCTGTTCAAGTTGACAAAGCCTGGCAGATTCTCTTCCTCCTCCTTTAGCTTGTGCTCCAGTCTCCTCACTGAATCTATAGTGTCACTGCATTCGCCAAGGAGTTTCATCTGTTCAGACATCAAAACAGCCTGTTATCACAGTTCTCACAAGGGCAAGAGTTTTGGCGGGAAACACCTTTTCAATCCCTGCAAGGGCAGTAGCTGTGTTCTTCTTCCCTGTGCCACTCCATGGAAAGTAAGCCTAGTTCAAAACCATGTGGTTTCAACAGGCAACCTATTCACATACACAAAGAGCAAAACCCTAAAGATGTACTTTGCATACGAGGTTGGCTTGAGAAGCCCTCAACATTTCTTTTAAGTTCATGAATCAAAACAAATTAAACCAAACTGGGAATGAAAATTCAGAGCCCTAAGCTGCCAAAACAACATACAATTTTTGGCAAGTTGCTCCCTCTTTTTCCTTCTTAAACTGAAATGTGGAAACATTAATACTACCACAAATCGCACGAATATTTCTGCATTAAAAAACTGAAATGCTTAAGAGGGTAAAGCAATACTAATGCCAGCTATTTTATGAGAAAATTTAAAGCAATATCTAATAAGTATCAGGGACTAAATGCTAAAATTAAAGGCAAAACTTAATAATATTATACACACTATTACAAAGATATAAGAACAAATCAGAATGGGGTTGGTGGCACACACCTGTCAACCTAGCGTTCGACAGGCTGAGGCAGGAGGATTGCAAGTTTGAGGCTAGCCTGGGCTACATAGGGAGACCCTATATCAAAAATAATAAAATAAAATAAAAAAGAACAAATCACTTCAATATATTCCTGCTTATATGGACCATAACATGTCTTAAAGCCTTTAAGTGCCTCACAATGCTACTGAGTTACTTTGATTACTTTTTGATTGAGATCAAATGTAATTTCTGTGATCAACATGGTCATCCAAAGATTATACTGCACTTTAAGAAAGAGGTTTCATAATAACAGAAGTAACTGTGAGAATCGTAATGTCGGCACATGGAGCTAGAGCAGTGTTCTTCCCTAGTTTCAAAAAGTAGCATGGGTGCATTGTGCTCAGCCCATGGGAAATTCCTTTTCTTTCCTTTTACTAATCAGTCCCTTAGATGTGACAGGAGGTGTGAGGCAGGGGAGAGATTTACTGTAAAATTTCTCTTGCTTATGTAGTTGGAGGAAACAGGTAGTCTCTGAGAAAAATTGCCTGGTTAGTAACCAGAACAAGGAAAATACAGTTGTGATAAACTATAACAGCCACATAACAAAGCGGGTAACCTATACCATCCCTTGCTATCCTGCCTCTCAATCCCTCTTATTAATCAGAGCCATTTTCTCCAGAAATGAGCACACTGAGAGCACGAGATAGGCTGGGATGTGTTCGGTGGTAGGGCATCTACCTCGTATGTGAAGGGCTCTATTCGATCCCCACCATCGACAACAACAACGACGACGAAAACCAAGAAAAGAGGATAAAAACATTCCCAAGCCCATTAAGTGAATCAAAAACCCAGGAAAAGAACTAAGACAAAAATTCTGTTAGTTATCTATTAGCCAAAATCTCATGCTCCAGAGACAGCCTTGGTCCAAAAATTATTAGTTGAATTTGGAAAAATGCCTAATGATATTTGGGAGCCAAAGCATTTCATCGCATTCAACTGGCGGCTCTTCCCCCAAGTGCTCGGTGTCAAGGAACAAGCTTGCCATTATAATGGGCTCTTGGAGCCTGGCAACACCAGTTCTTCTCAAACAGTAAGGGGCTTTGTTTTTCACTTCCATGTTCATGAGTTCAAAGGCATGGCAGTGCTTGGAGAGCTCATAAAACTCTCATGGTGCAGACAGGCTGTTCTTTGTCACAGAACTGTGATCCAGGTAAAGGTCAGGGGTGGGAGGGGTGGTATACTCACGTAGCCTCTGTAGCTGGAGTCCAGCTCTGGCCCCGTGGGAGTTTTGCTACGGAGGATATTTTCAGTTTGCTGCATCTGGAAGTGACTGTCATCCAGTGCTTTGTGCAGTTGCTGGATCTGTGACTCCAGAGCGCTGGGATCCCCTGCAGTGTCAACCATAAGAATCTTACCGCCCATACTGTTTACATATTTTGAGCTGGACATTCAAGGAGAAGTTTCAGAATTCATTTCAGCTTTGCTAGCAGAGAAAGGGCGTTGTGAGTGAATGATAATTACAGAGCAGATTCAGTACCGTGGCGCTGATGGGTTAGGCATTGCAGGGGCCGAACCAGTGCGTGGGCTTTCCCAAGACAGCCAGACAGTGGGCACTGAAAAGCGTTCTGCCATCAATTCTGGACAGTGTCTACTTTCTCCTCCAGCCCATCGCCTATAACTGGAGTGCTGGAAGTTGTAGAAGGCCTTTCTGAACATCTGAAGCAGTGTGTGTCCCTCCCCAGGAGAAAGCAGGCAATTATATCTCAAGCTCTTTCTGCAGTCACTTAGCCAGTAAAGGAGGGTATGCCCTTTAATTTGTCTTTGTGCACCGCAAAGGTGACAGCACTGCAGAAGACCCTCTTGCTATATTCTACACTTAAGGCATGAATTCCAGTTAACCAAGAAAAGACTAGTTCAGAACAGATGTCATGGAGACATCAAACTAGCAGGGACTTGTTTTCTTCTAAAGTCTGAAACAAAACTGAGAGCAAGCTAAGAATCCAATCCTTCTATTTAGGCAGCATTTTACTTACTGCCCACATCCTGGCTCATTCTCTTAGAGCCGTGAACTTACAGTGTTCATGTCTGCCTGTGTGCACACATATGTGCCCATATGTGTGCACACATGCATTTGTGTGGACAGACTTGTTGCTGAATAAGAATGCTGATATCAAAGTGGTGCTAGCACAGGGTGAAGCAGAGCAAATATTAGTAAGCTTTAGTGATCTATCTACTTTTAAGCAAGTTCTTTAAAATATACCTAGGAGAAGTCTCTGGGAATTCACCTTGTCAGTAATGCCACCTCACTTCCTGTCCTTCCTGACCCTCTGCTTCTCTTCAGAGACTGAAGTGTAAACTAGTAACTTCACTACTCCCCCAAACCACTGACCTTGAACTCAGTTTGTCTAGTAAAGCTCTGAGCAAAAACAGTTCCATTTTTCTCTCTTCAAATCTTTTGAGTTGAGAACTGGTCCTATCTTCAAAGGGAAACTGAAGGGTTAAGATACCATGGAACAGAGTTTTCATTTCAAGTTATTTTATGAGAAAAAGCTTCTTAAATTAAAAGGAATCTGGCCTCACTCCCATCTTCTATGTGACCTCTGAAATGAGGATGGTACAGTGGAGACTGTGTCAAGGTCACTTGTCCAGCCAGAGGTCAGCTACAGCCTCTAAAGCTGGTACTCTCACAACCAAGCAGACCCCTGGGGCACACACACTGAGGCCTGGCTTTGCCCTCTCCTATTTTCTGCTGTCGAAGGACATCAGAGGTCTCTCCTTAATGGACTCGCTACCACTTGACAAGCTGAGAAGTTATTCTGCTTCATCTGATTATTGCAATCGTATTCTGGGTGTGGCTCAACCAGCAGCTTTTTTCAAGAACAGCAGAGGAAGAGAGGAGGGCTGGGCCTCACCACGCCTGATGACCTAAAGCTAAGAGAGACCCAGCAGCAGCGCTGAGAGAGGAGGCTTGTTACGGTGAAGAAGGGAGGATGCTGACTTCGTGCCTACCAGAGGTATTTCTGATGGCATTTTCTGTGAGTTTTACATAGGCCTCAGGGCTTTCAGGGATCACTACATCTGCAAAAAGAGCACAGTCTAAGTTCACAGCTAGGTACTGGAAACCTTGACTCCCTTGTGGCAGGAGGACTTTCCTAGGGAAAAAGAGGAAGTTAGTCATTCTAAACAGACAGCCCCCCAGCACACAGAGCACACAGAGGAGCATAAGCATGGCCCCCGAGGGCTTCCTGAAATGAATTCTACTAAGAATTGATACTGACTGACTGAAGAGTGTTCTGAGCCAGGCACTGTTTTAAGCACATTTAGCCTCACAGAAATCCAAGGGATGCCTGGTAGCATTGCTTCCATTTTTCAGATGAGAAAACTGGCATCCAGAGGAATGAAGTCACTTGTCCAAGTTTAAACAGAAAGTCAGTGGCACAATTCAAGAACAGCATTTCCCCTGTATCTCTGTGTAAACTACATATGGAATTTTATAGTTTTCATAGCCACCTTAGGATACTAGTAAGCAGGTGAAATTCATTTTAATGCTAAAGTTTACTAAACCAATAAAACAAAATAATACATACACTCAACAGAGATTAATGTTTTATGGTTTTTGTCCTTAAGCTTGGCGTATGTATGTAAGTGTATTTTCCATTTACAGCCCATCTTGATTTGCACAGACACATTTCAGAAAAGAGAAAAGTAAGAGTTCATTCTTAGAACAAGGTCACGTGCTTGAGAACCCACATAAACCATCAGAAGCAAGCAGAGCTAACTGTGGATGGCCTTCCAAGTGCCACAGATCAGCTCCAACTCCTTACTCTATCTTTACTCATCTTCTATACGATCGACCCTCTCTTTCTGCCCATCCCTTCACTGCGTGTATTGCTGGATGTTTTGTCCTTTTTGCTTCCTTCTAGATGCTCTTCCTTTGTGATTCCTTCCACCCACTCAGGACAATGACTATTTACATGTGGAAAACAGCCTAATCTGTATTTCCAGGTCCTGGAAATTCATACTTCTACTCTTGGATTGCTAGATCTAAACTTCTACAAATATCTCAAAAGCAGGATTACATAATCAAACTCAGAGCTCCCCTGTCTCTTTGCCCTGCCTCCCTTGTTCAGCCATGCTATGATATTCTCTCCCTCTTGTGGTCTTCACGGCCTTCCTTCCACCTGTATGTTTTATTAAGATGCCCAAGCCAGAAAATCAACTCGATCCAAGTTAGGCAGTACTGCTCCTCATGCCATACGTCTAACTAATGGGCCTTGTGGCGGCATCTTCTCTGGATTTCTCACCTCTTCCATTCTCTCTAGATGCATCTGACCACAGCGCTTCACTCTTCAGACCCTAGCGTGGCTCCCTATTGCCTTCAGGATAACAGCCAAACACCTTCCCGTGGTGTCCAGGCCACTGCATCATCAGGCCCTTGCTTATTTTTCCAACCTCCATGGTCACCACTGTATCCACTGTATGACACCAACCCACAGACTCGCCACTGTGGACAAACTTCAGATGACCAAAAGCACCACGGCTAATCGCCAAAGCTGGGCTGGGCTCCTCTTTCTTCCTCTGAACACTGCCATGTCCCTGAATGAGTGCTAATCCTCCCCCGTGTCAGCTCACAACTTTCTTCAGTGAAGCTTCTCCTCCCAGCTCCAGGCCAGGTGTCCATGATTCTGCTTCTGTGCCACCATGTACACCCGGTTATTCTAACACCCACCATTTCGTAGATGAGCCTGGCTAGCTGATGTCTTTCCAAAACAGTATTCATTCTTTCTCGTATGGACTCTTTCCTACCTGATAAGCCAACGGCTCCCCTGAGGTAGAAATCCTTGTCTTCCCGACCCTCTTCATCCTCAGAGGGCAGAGTTCTGGACACTGCAGATTCCAGGTCACGACTGAGGTCATAGTCATGATCCCACTCCAGAGGGATGGAGTCCACACTGGCTGGGGTGTCCCGTCCTGACCGCTCACTCCGGAGGGGCTGGGGGAGCGAGAGGGAGGGGTTGGAGGAAGGCTGGGGGGAGGATGCACCATCTGCAGAGGGGTCCTGCCAGTGCAAGTCCGAGAGAGCCGTAGAGTCATCAAGCTCCAGCTCCCGATCAGAGAGGTCATGATCATCATCTGGAAGCTAGAAGGGAAGTCATGCCAACTCTGTTACTGCGGGGCTTGCCTGTCCCCTGACCCCTCAGGCTCTACCTGGTGCAAATGTCAGTGCTCAAGCTGATCTGCGCCACCTGCCTACCACGTGGTGATAACTTTAAACTTTCTATGAAGAAATACATAAAAACCACCCAATCACTTCAAAGTGTCTAATAAGTTAATCTATATGAGCCTCAGTTTTATTACTGTTAAGATGGGAATAACATCACAACTTACTTTGAATAACCATAATAGAAGATTAAGTATGATAATATAAATAAAGGCAACCTGGAATCATGCCTGTAACACAGCACGTACACAATGCCACATATCAGGAACAAAACCTTAGCATGTCTTTTTTTCTTCATATCCCAGAGATAAAATATATTTTATCATATGAGATTCCAATGACATTCCTATAGATGAGATGTGATTATGGTGGAAATTAGAAAAAACAGAAGAAAAAAATTCACAAAGAAATAACCTTGGGAGCTGAGCAACTGTTTATACTTCTCAATTTCCTTATTTCGTCTAGAAGTTTCTTTATCTTCCATACAAGATATATGCCAAGTGTTCTTTTCAAGTTTATATATATGAGCTAATGATCAAAACCAGTCCTTTCTACAAGGTAGTTGCTGTGATTAAACCTGTTTTACAGTTGGGAAACCGAGGCAAGAAACGTGCAGTAGTGTGCTCAATGCTTCATAGACAACAGTGTCAAAGTGACAACTGAACCCATGCATTCTGGCTCCAGAGCCTGGGCTCTTGCTCACGTTGTTATTCTACCTAATTCCATATAATTAATTCTTTCTAGATTTCTAACAATGAAAAGACCGAATGCTCCATACCGGCAGGCGGATCAGTTTCTTGTGGTATCTCTCCACACGCCCAAAGACCTCCTGGCAGTAGCGTTGGAGCTCATCCAATTCCTCCTCGATGACGGCTGCATCCAGGGGCTCACTCTTCTCTATCAGCTGCTCCCCTTGCGCAATTATCTGCTCAATCTTATTGTGGTTCAGTGAAATTTCCTGCTGGAAGGCCTGGGGAGCACAAATGCCTTGTGAACTTTTCACTGCTCCCAATGATATCCGAGAATTATACGACACATATTTCTCATGACATTGGAAAAACCATGTAGGGATATTTGATTTGCCATATGCAATGACAGCTGAGAGGCTATTAATGAAGAACAAAATTTTAAATTGGAATAAGAGTCAGAAAATAACTGTTGCTAGTAAGATTTACTGCCATAGACCATATGGATAGAGAATAACAGGAAAAAAATATTCAAACCCAGCATCAAGTTGTGATTCCATGTCAAAATGATGTCATGATCTAAACATTTTGATTTGTATCACACAATGTAAATCCTATGTCAAGCACAACAAAGGGAAGCCATCCAAAAGACAAATGTCACAAATCCTTCTCAGATGATTCTTTTGTTGGTTCAGGACACAAGCATTAAAGCACAAAGTCACAATGATTTGAAAAGCAAGGAATTCTGGGAAGAGTATGTGTAATCATTCTGTATGGTTTGAAAGAGTTAAGTTCCTAGGTATAGATTTCAGGTGATCAATTTTAATTAAATAATACAATAAGCTCTGGAATAATAATAAGAAGAAAATTAAAGTCTGGAACAGTTGAAATTGTCCAATAAGGAAAAAGACTTCCAAGAGAGAAAGGAGAGTAGAGTAACAAGTTCCAAGATCCCGCCAGAGTCCAAAAAAGAAAAAATTCAACTATCACGTGGTAGAAATGTGCTGTTGAAGGAGCTAAATATTGATTTGCTCGTGAGATGACTTGGGAGAATGGTGGTGGGGAGGGAAAACAGGAGAGGTGTGACAGAATTGCCCATCTTAATAATCTACGATTAAGGGTAACTTCCTCATTTTAATATAAAAACCAAAAGCTTATGGTATACCATGGCCCAATGTCCTGGATTCAATCTCCAATACACAAATGCACACACACACAAATCCATATATCTATATTGGGAAAAAATTTCATAAACTGCCTTGCAAATTATTTAACTCAAATCTTTTTATTTAGATAGTTCCCTCCTGTTCAAATTCTAGCTAGCCATTGTGTTTGGATTATGTTGTGAAAGACATAAAATATATTTAAGATTAAAGGCATTAAGAATGTAGATATGGACAGTGAAATCCCAACATAAGAAAGTTGTATCATTCTGGAACATGGAGGTTGCAAAACAAACCAGAGGCAAAACAACAAAAGAAGGTCCCCAATGCCTTAGCAATCAAGTCAATATTTAAAAGCATTTGTGTTAATAGTGCAACCACTGGGTTGTGCGCTTTAAAAAATTTTAATATCTTTAATGTTTGCTGACTCGTCTTGCAATCATGAAGAACTAATTTTTAAGAGTTCGTTACAATTCTATTCCCCAAAGGATCTACATATCATCTCGTTTTCAGATGTGAGGGGACTCACCTTGATAATTTGGAAAATAACTGACCCATTACCTTGAGCTGCTTTATTTTCGCTTGAACATCACACTCAGAGAAGTGCTCAATGTTAGTGAGCTGCAGGTCCATCTCTGTTAGCCACACTAGGATGCTGTCCCGTGCAGTCTCAAACTCCTCACGTTGGCTAATAAAATGCTGGTATGAGAGGAAGAAAATAAAAATTGAACAGTACACATCAGCACAGTCAGTTGGCACAGACAATTTCCACATTCTTCTTAGACATCATTTTCTCAACAAGTAATGAGTACCCTGCACCCTTCACCTATCACTGCCCCCTCCAGCCCCTCCTGCTAACCCAACTTCACATTCACTGCAATTATATCTCAGATTATATTCAAATGGCCTGGTTCTGCCCTCTGGATCTCTAAATTACAGATGAGTCATAATTCAAACCTTGAGTCTGCGCAAGATGGAGGTGACGCGCTTCTGCAGGTTGTCCCATCTCTGGTTGCCTTCGTGAACCATCTGTTTGAGGCTGCTCGCAGAGTCTGTGCGGTTCTCTCTGGCCAGGCGGCGGTACTGCTTGTTGATCAGTTCCAGCTGGGTCAGGCTTTCATGGACCTGTCGCTGGAAGGCCTAGGGTCACAAAGAATGTGCATCAGTGTGGGTGATCAGGGAAGGACCTTGGTTATGGCTTGGTTTTCATAGTGTAGTGTCAAGGATAGAAATGATACTATCAGACAGAAAGAAAGGGCAGCTACTAATAAAAGCTCTCTTCCCTTGTGAAAGCAAAGTCATTTACTCAGAGTGGGTGAATCAAGAACATGAAAGAAAATGGGGAATAGTAATTAATCCATATATCCACAAATAAACGCACAAATAAATATAAATGTACATATATATTCAGATGTATATGTATATGCATACACATAAAATAAACAGAACTTTTAAAAATGGTTTGGAAATAAATTTTTCACACCAAAAAAAGCCATTAGAAAAATATACATGTGTGTTGAAATGTGAATTTGAAGAGTTTGATATTTCTGGTGTCAAAACTGAGAAAAGTTATCTACAATAGAACTGTTTATTTGTAAAATATATAATTTCCTAAACACCTCTATTCTGGTATCCATTAGGAATAAAATTTAAACCGTACTTTGCAAAAGGCAGTTATTAACTTTGAAGAGAAGCAGTTGAGTAAAAGACAACTAATTTTCCATTTTAAAAAAGTTTAGAATATGCCCTATTTCTTTTCTGTTTTCCCATGAATTATGCAGTTTTTATAAAATGTGTTAGGGCTGTTACAGGTACAGTATAATGGTGGCTGTTTACTTTTGAGGACACAGTACACAGTTTAGAGATTCTTCCTGCTTTGTCTCTATAGTACAGAATAGCCCTAGCATAAGAATCATTCCACCAAAACAAAATAGTTTTTCTCCTACTGAACTCGTTTGTATGATTTATGACTGATTTTTATTCTGTCACTAGACCAAAAATTTTATAATTAATTAACTGGCCTGTACTCATCTCAATCCCAAATCTTGTTGTCCTTGGCCTCATCACACTCTTAACATGCTATCACATTTCTGTCTCATAAATGGTTTCCTCCTGAGAATTGCTTTAAGATGCTCAATCCTAGTAAATTCAATCTTTAGTTCTATAAAACTTTACATTATTTCCCCAGCAAAGGAAGTGATGTGACAGCCTTTGGTGTTGCTGTAAGTTAGAATGTGTTTGCCCACAGGGGTGATGGTATAGCAGCAGGTCAGACACCCCAGCACATCTAGGGCCCTCCCAAACATTTGAGCAATGGAGCAGGCTAAGGATTGTCCTTAAGCAAAATTTTGTTTCTGTAACTTGTTTCTGTCTCTAAAAAAATTATAATTATGATAAATGATAAAATCAATCATTACAGAAGCTGACTATATGGGTAACTTTTGCTATAAAATTTGAGTCCAAAATAGCATCAAGAAGGATTTTGTATAATCTACTTTGGAGGATAAGCCAATTACAAAAGGTTTGACCTTTAAGAAGCTGAGTGTACTAAGACACAGAACAGTGTCACTTCCGTTAGCATTAGTCTGTGCTGAGTTGACCTGAAATCTACTGCTGTTTACTGTGTTTTTTCCTACAAGTTTTCATATAGAACTTTTCATATAGAAGTTTCCTCTGGATTTTAGTGGAAATCCACTAAAATTGTTATAGTTTTATAACAATCTATTCAGAATAACTCTTATTTATTTTACACAGTATTTGAACATCTTTATAGATTCATATAGCTGTGCATCCGTGACTACTAGATTTTAAATCTCCCAAACAAAAACCAAATTGTGTATTTCCCACAAAAGGCCTCAGAAAATGCTGGGTGACCTGACATCACAAGGTAAAACCTGAATCCAGACTTTTAGTCTTAATTCTAGTCATCAAGCTAGCAATAGAGCAGAATTAGGGAATGGTCATAATGGATCAGAACCATTTGATAGCAGTATATATGAGTTCACATGTAGTGAGTCATGGGAACTGAAGGGAAGAGAGACTTCAAATTTAAAAATGGTCTATTTGAAATCAGAGGCAGCTGAGAAGTTTGGGATTCACGGTATCACAGGGATAGAGTGGACTGAAGATTGTGCAAAAGGCAAGGAACTGGAATCAATTATTGAACGATTCTTTTTCTTCATGAATGTAATTATGGTACTGCTATTTTTATCTTTGTGAAATTCAAAAGCCTTGGTGACTCAAGAACAGCACTGCTTTTTGTTGTGCAATGAGAAAAGGACTATATTGAAAATGTTTTATCCAACATTATTTTATTAATGATTAAAATTATATATACACACTCTACAGTGTGGTAAAAAAAATCAAGAAAATATACTTAAAAGTAGATTTTTATAGTTTGGAAAAATGATCATATCTTAGTTTTAGAAAAGATGGTTGATTGTAAAAAATTCTGAAATAAGAAAAATGCCAGGACATTCTTTTGGGTAATCATGAATGTTGTTTTCTAATAGAAGAAATTAATTTCTCTCTCTCTCTTTCCATATGTGTGTGTATGTGTGTGTGTGTGTATATATATATATATATTTACATATATATCTTACATATACCTTATATATTTCTTATGTATATATACATATATATCATATATATCTCAAAAAAGATATATCTTTTATATACATATATATACAAAAACACATACATATATATCTTTTTTCTGAGACATGGTTTTGCTATGTAGCTCAGGCTGGCCTAGAAACCACAGTCCTCCTCTTCTGCCTTCTGCATGTTGTGATTACAAGTGTCTGCCACCATGCCTGGCTAGAATTTCTCTTTACTACTACTTCATCTGTAATTCTTGATAATCTTATTAAAATTGAGACTTCCTTCATGCCCTTCTTTGCCTACTAAAGAGACAATGCACCAGTCAGTCAGCTATTTGAACAAAGAATGTGTAGGTGGAGAGTCAGTTTATTTCTTGGAACACCAACTACCAACTGGCTACGTTAAATATTTGGAATTATAAACCACCTCAAATTTCTTTAGTTCTTCCTTGGCAACTGTGTAGAGCACCCCAGAAGAGCTGGGGAAAGCAGCTGTCTTTTCTGAAATCTTTAGCCAATCTTCAAAACGAGAATAGTCATCCAGAAACTTCTGCCACAGTCTCCATGTCTCTTCGATTCTGAGACAGAAAATGAAAGCACAGACTGCTGTTATTCAAGACTGGTCATGCTCTAGCACCCTGTCTATGGCTGCAACAGGATTAAGAGTGCCCAAATAAGCAGCTGCCGTGCCAAACAATAACTGTGCCTTGAGCAGAAAGAAAGAGAGACAACTGTTTGAGCTAAAATAAAACAGCTGTTTGTTTTTTAAGGACATGTCCTGCATCTTTGGCTTTGGAATTAGTCAAATTGAGTATTGGAAGTACGTGCACACCGTGAGCTGCCCTGGGTGCTTGCAAAGAAGCAAAGAAATGCGATGTGTTTGCAGTGTGCACTCAGGCCAATGTTCTACGGAAAGAAAACTGAGGTTGGACAATTCCTTTAATTCCAACACCACACTCACCCTAACAAATGCCAACCAGTGACAGGGAGCCCCATAGCGAGCTTTCGAGAGTGGCCAGAGAGCACAGTGGTTTTGTTTCAAGCCGTATGATGGTTTTGTAATGACACGTCACGATTTTTTTGCTACCTTAAATTTCAAGGTGCTTAAACATAAATAACATATGCATTTGATTTTTAATGAAATATATTATTTTTTCACAACAATGAATTCTATAAAGTTCTACTCATCTGGCAAGGCATATTTTTATTTTTCTGTATATATATTGAAACTGTCAGATCAGAGGGAACTTGGCTTATTAGAGTTATATAATTCCTGGGTATCTACTTATTTTCCCAACTAGATGTATTGGGAAGCCAAGGTTATTTTCAGACTTTGTAACCAAGGGGAAAGAGTGAACCAGGTGATTTTGTTTTCCTTTCTGGACTGTCCTCTCCCTAACTGAGCATCCCCGCTCACTTGAGCCTCCTTTCCATGGACATGGCACAGATATTTCTCCACCGCCGGTCCAGGTTTCGTGTAGCTTGCTGGATGGAGTCACACTCAGCATCGGTGGCACAAGCGTCACAGTCATGCAGCAGGACTTCGCACAGGTTGAGGACAGAGGCGACCCCTGTGCTGTGCTTCTCTATGTCTCTCTGAAGCTCCTGCAGGGGAAAGCAGCATGCTTTATTTAAGCATTCCCTCTCTACAGACAGAGACATCCCAGCAGCACTCACTGACCGACGAATGGTGAGGCTGAGCCTTGACAAGGATTTCAGTTCCTTGAATGCATGAAGTTTCTTGCATCTTGCTTATGAAATCTGGCAAGCTCAAGGGTACTGAGAAAATGGATCAGGAAATATTTTGGCCATGTTAGCAATGCCTCAATAGACACTGAACAAATGAAACAGACTGAACTAAGAGAAAAATCAGCTTTACTGAGAAATGAATCTTGCCCTAGACGCTACAGACACATGACTTCCATTCTAACCAGCAACTGCTCAATCAATCAGCACCTGCTAATTGCTGGTGCTCTAGGACTGGAATTTCAGCTTCAAAGATCTGCAAACCATTAATAGTTAATTCCACCATCATTAAACATTATCATGGGATAAGGGATGTCAGCAGCTTCCTCAGGATATGACATAGAATATATGGCAGAAATAGAGTTTATGATGAAAAATAAGAAATTGAATTTTCCCCAACCTCTGCATGTGAAATCTTCATTATGCTACAAAGAATGTAAATATGCAATGTTCATTATTTTCTCCATAAAGTTTTTCTGCAGTTTGGATCTGAAGTGTTCCCAAAAAGTCTATGTGTTAAAGGCTTGGTCGCCAGCCTGAGGTGCTACTGGGAGATGGTGGGACTGTTAGCAGGTGGAGCATAGTGTAAGGAAGTTAGGTCATTGGGAGAATCCCTTGAGGGGGTGTTGGTACCTCAGCCCCTTCCTCTCTCTTGCACCCTGGCCACCATGGGGTGAATACTGTGATATGCAGTGCCACTACAGGTCCAGGGGAATGGGGCTCAGCAACCATGCACTGAAACCATAAGCCAGAATAAACCTTGCCTCATTATTAGTTGATTACCTAAGGTATTTTGAAAAGCTGATTAACACAAATTTTTAATGCAGTTTACCCAAATGAAGTATTCTAATACTGAAAGTGAGCTCTATGGGTGCCATTTTTTTTACCTGTCCTATTCATCAATGTCCTTAACATGCTTTCCTTTCTCACCTGTGCAGTTCTTGAATTTGCCTAGCTTTTATTTTGTTTTAATAACTGCTCAGTTTACTCAGATACCTAAAATTTATTCTTGTGATATTCTTTCTCTTATTTATCTCCTTAGCACCATTTTCCACTGTCCATGAAAAGACTCACCTATTGTTGAATATAATAATATAATAATACCTTTGATCAATTTTTGAAGTTTTTATAAATTAGACATTAGAAGACAAACCATATTAAAATATTTCTATTTTAGTAAGTAGTCTTTTCAAATCTCTAACATGACCTCTTCACTTATATGGAAAAATATGTTAAGAGATTGCTAACATAAAAATATAATAAAAATTTAACTGAATATTTGCTTAAAGAGAGAGACTTGTACGGATGAGATCAGTGAGTAAATTCAAAATCTTGGTATGAGATGTCCATTTGGAAAAGGTGTCAGGTGCCTGGACATAACCCACACATTTGGGCATGATCTTTTATTGTGATTTTCCCGAAGTACTCAAAAAGTTTTGTTAAAATCAGCATATAAAATAGCAACTCTAAAGTTTGAATGGTTTTGTATTTATAATCTAAACACCCTAAGACAAAAATTTCAGTTTCAGTTTTAATCTCAATTGATACAATATGGTCTCTAATCATCACATAATATCCTTGAGTTTACTTTTCTTCATCCATAACACAGAGAAATTTGGCAAAATGTTTCTCAAAGTCATGTTAAGTCTATATAAACCATCATTTTGCCACATTAAGTCTGTAAGAATGAAGAACGCTGACAAGAGAAACACAAAAACTCTACATAGGGAAATAGGAGAAAATGCATCACATATCAATTCAGTCTGTCCATTGAAATATTCATCAGAATATTTACCTTTTAGAGACAGATAACTTTTTTATCTATCTTTTACAATATGGATCCTAAGTGGTACAGTTTTTGCAGAATCATTTTCAAACACTGTCCACAACGGAGACGTGATTAAAATAAAAGGTAGTGAACACTCACTTTGTGCTAGGCACTGTGCTTTTCTCATTAACATTTCCTCATTTACAATCACACCTGTGGAATGTGTTTTGTTAATAAGCATTCCATAAATAAGAAATCTGAGGGTTAAAATGCTTGGTTACTTTGCCCCAAGTAACCCAGAAAAGGTGAAACTAGGATTTGAGCCTAGAAAGTCTTTTAACCCTTGCTATACAACTTTTAAACTATAACTTAAAACAAGTAAAAAGCTATACGCATATATATACATATATTTGGATATATAAATATAAATATATATATAAATATAAATATATTTATATATAAACATGAAAAAGAAACTACTAGAAGGCTTCTAATGAAGCAGCACCCTTCCTATTCTCACTTTTCTTTACCAGAAGCAACCTTCTCTATGCCTTGTAGTTTTCCTCTGGTATTTACTTCAACATTTCTAAGTAGCATGTTCATACAGCTATTTCCTGATTTTTCAATTTTGTTTTTTTTATTTATCTGTTGGTTGTACTGGGGTTGGAACTCAGGGCCTCACACTTGCTAGGGAAGTGCTGTACAACTTGAGCCATGTCTCTAGCCGTTTTTTGCATTCGTTATGTATCAGATAGGGTCTTGCTTTTGCCAGACCTGCCTCAGAACACAATCTTCCTACCTCCTCCTCCTGCATAGCTGGGATGTATCACCATGCCTGGCCCCTGAGTTTTCAATTGTAAACATTATTGACTCTTCTATAGTACAGAAGAATAAGCTTCCACATGGCTCACTGAGCTCCAATTGTTATATAATTTATAGCTTGAGCAATAATTGCATGATTATAGTTATTTGATGTTTTTCATATCTGAGTAACAAAACATGCTATGGTTTTATTTCTTTTCTTACATAACTTTTTTTTTAATCTAAGCAATTTATACTGTTTGTCTCTAGTCTCTCTCTTATGGAACTAACAACTTTCCTTTCAGTCTGGTTAAGCCCATCAGGTGATCTACTTCCACTGTTTTCACTCTTGGAGACCTCCTTTCTTGAGCTCCTAGTCTAATCTGGACAGTGCTCATTTGGCTGAAGGTCACCTGTCATTAGAGATGTCTCTTCACCTTAATCATGAGAATTCAGCTTTTAAAAATTTTTATTTTTGATTAACTCATATTATTTATACAGATTAATGGGTTTGGTGTGATATTTCAATACATGCCCACTGTTTGCTTTGATCAAATCCCATGCCCCTTTTATCTAGCCTCCCCTGTCCCCTACTTCCCCAATTTTTGTTTTTCTGTTTCTGGATTATTTCACTTAACATAATGTCCTCCAGGCTCACTCATTTTCCTGCAAATGATAGGATTTCATTGTTTTTTAATAGCTGAATACGATTCCAATTTTCTTTCTCCTAAGTTGGATATTACTCTTCCTATCACTTTAGCTGTTAGTGTATGCAGCATACCGTTAGCTTCCTGAAAATGGATGCGTAGTAGGTAAAAAAATTTATATTTTAAAAAGGAGAATATAAATAAATTATAAAAAATTTTCTCAGCCTTTTGAAGGCAGTATGTCATTGTCTCCCAGCTTCCAGAATTGTTGGGGAGAAGTCAGATTTTTTTTTCCCCCTGGAAATCTTAAAGATTTTCTCTTTATCCCTTGTGTTTGCAGTTTTATAGTGTGGTTTCCTGGAATGGTTTTACTTTGTTTTAAAATTTCCTGGGCACTTACAAAGACCTTCTGATCTGAAAATATGTGCTTTTCATTTGAGATTTTATTTTATAGTACAACTTTAATAATTTCTTCCTCTCCATTAAAAATTCTTTGGGGGAACTTTTATTAAAAAATGAATTGGATTTTAGAACTCTGCATTAGTCTTTTAATTTTTTATATACTTATCGCCTATCTTATTGTTTACATATTTATCTTCATATTTTATATTCTGTGGGAGATATTATCAATTTTGAAAGTTCCTTAAAAATAGCATCCTTTCCTGCTTTGCAAAATCTCTCATTTCTGCGTTTTTGTTTTTTAAACTTTCCTTTCTCTATAATGTGTTTCCTTTGATTTTTCCTTTATTTTTTTTCCTCTTACTATTTTTTTTCTATTTCTTTTGGTGTTTTCTTTCATGGGAGAAGCCTTCTTCAGTGGTAGGCCTCTTGCCTACCCACACACAGCTAAGAATAAGCCAGTCACTGGATACTGTTTGCATTCTATGGCATGCCAACCAGGAGGCCTCGCTGTAGGGGGCATCTGGCCTGGCTGGGTTCCCTTCAGTATCACTTCCTTTGTCTGGTCAGTTTCCCTAGAGACTGCTCTAACCTCCTAGCTGGGGTATGAGCTTGGCTATTTGTATGGCAGCCATGCTGTGGAAATGAGCTGGTACTTAGACCATTTGGCACCAAGACATTTACTCCACCTTCCAACTTTTAATATACTGATGGTGTCCTCATCTCCAAGCGCAGAGTCCCTCTGGTTTTCCTTCTCTAGATAATCCTCTGGGTAAGAAAGCAGAGTGCCCTGGCTACCTGGGCTTGGAGAGGATCTGCCAGTCTAGCCACTCCTCATTCAAACTTACAGTATTCTACTTTACAGCTCTACAAACAACCCAATTCAGCTGTATGTGTTCTCCATTTTCTGAGCCATCTTTGGAGCTTTGTGGCATGAGTCAACTTTCTCTACCCCCACTCTGCTAATGCTGCCAATGTTCATCTGTTCACTTTCTGTCTTCCAAAATTCTACAAGATGCCTGTCATCTCTATCATTTTATTTCTTATTCATTTTGCCACTGTAGGTTTTGAATTTTCTTTCTCCTTTACTATCATTTTACTGGGGACTTAGTAGTAGATTGAGATACAGATCATATGAACAATTTGCCCTATTTAAATAGATGATGTTTAGATTTTTTTGTACATTTGCCAAATCACAACACTAGCCATTAGCACTTCAACTCTTTCACTGATACACATCATTACCATGTTTTCCTGAAGAGTTTGGGGAACTGAAAGCCAACCATGACCCTCACAATGCAATCATCAGCATTTTTCAGAGAATTTTAACCGTATAAAAATTTTAAAATGCCCTGTTAACACAAATGTTTTAAAAGCAATGCACCTTAATACCTATTCCCATTGGCTTAAATCTTCTGTAAAAAATAAAGCAAGTGCATTAATTATTTTTGAAGGATTTAAAAAAGCAGGTGATGTTTCCATTTTGCAGTGTTTTTAAGTTAAGCAACTTTCTACAGTGGTCTAACTATAATGGAAGAAACCAGAGTCTGGATAGAATTTTCAAATGCAATCTGAAGACATGGAGTTACAAGACTTCTGAGGAATTTATATGCTCACTACTAGTAACTAGAGTATGATACTCCTAGTAAAGATAAACAAGGGGAGTAGGAGATTAAAATTTCTTCTGAGTGCATTTTTAGGGTCATCCTCTTTTGCTTCATTGGGCTGTACATTTTATGCCAGTGAGATGTGTTGTGTTTTCTGTGTACATGAAGGTGAAATTGAAGTGTGTGGTCTGAATGCCATGTGATCCTCCTGGTAGAATAAAACTCTAAAATTTCTGAGAATTAATTGTAACCTTTCTGCAAACATTATGTGCAGGAATAAGGGACTCCTTTGTAAGTCTTTGGTAGTGGGTTAGTGACCCACAAACAAATACTAATCTTATGATGCTTGGGAGATATCACTGATACTCAACCTCACCTTCCATCTTAGAATGCTTCTTGGAGGAACAATAGCACCAACACTGTAATACAAGCATTTTTTTTAAAGAGTCAACTCTGCAGTGACATGGAACCTATGTGCCTCATACACTTCCCTCCACAAATCTAACCCTTCCTCTCCAGTCCTGACTTGCTTCTTCCTAACCTTCCATCCCAAGTCACTGTCCCATGCCCACCCATTATCCTGGCCAGGAAAACAGGCATTCTATGGTTTATGAATCTACTTTCATGAGTAGATTCATAAGTAGTTTTCAGTTTTACCTGCTGCTCATTAAGCTTCCTCTGTATTTCTTCTGAGTTACAGGAATCATAAACTATGGGCTTGGCCAGCTCTGACTCAATGTGAGCAAGCCAAGCCCTCAGGCTGCTCATGTTCTTATCAAGCTGCTGGACGGCCACCAGAGTCTCCTTCAGCTTCTTCACCCTGTGGGCAGAGAAGGCAAAGCATTCAGCATTGGTGAGATGAGTGAGAGGCACCACTCATGCTGCCCCAGGCAGAAACGAATGCTAGGTCTGAAGCCAAATTGTCCGGGTCCACCCTGGCTTAGATACTAAGTGGCTGTGTGATTTTATGCAGGTATAGGACCTTCCTACGCCTCTTTTCCTCATCTGTTAAACGGGGATTTTAGAGACGATATGAGCGCTCGAGGGATTTGAATACGCGGGAAATGTGGGCTGTCCAATGTATGGGAAACACTCAATAGACAGGAACAACTGTTACACTCACTATAACTGTAATAATGGAAACGTGACAGACACCCCATGGTTGTCACAGAAATCATTTCCACAAAAACATACTTTATACTTCTCTGAGGCATACGTGGGAGACACATTTCCTTTTAAAACACTTCCAACAGACTGGCACCCAACAGATTACACAGCTACAGTTCTGATATTAACCAAACATAATTTCAGTCCCAATGGATTGTATTTCAGCACATTTTGCACAGAAACTTGGTTAAAGGACACAATGAAGAGAAGTTAGCATTACCAATGACAGATCACACTGAAAGTAACTGAGGTCCTGTTGAATTGTAAGTGACAGAGGACAGATACAAGATCTGTAACTACCCTTTCTTCTGCTTTCAATACATAGCTTAGTGTACTACATAGATCTTTAAGAAAGGTTTTTTCCAAAAAGCAGAAAAAGTGCTTTCTTTATGATGTCATTTATCTAACCATCATGTGTGGATGTTTTATGTGCGAGATGCTAAGAAGATAAAGGTAAATAAGGCTTGATTTTTTTCTTCTTAAATGTACAATCTGGACATGTAAACAAGGAAACATGACACAATGTGGTAAGAACTCAATGAAAGAAAGTAACGAAGTCTCTAGTTAATAAAAAAGAGCTCATCAATTCAGTCCCACATGATCCAGTAGCACTTCATTCACCACAGCTTTCTGTACATCTTCTATGAACACTTACAGTGCTAGGTAGACTAAGTGCTAGGTGATGGAATACAATGACTAAACTTCACACTTGCCCTTGGGGAACTTAGATTTTGAAGAAAGGGAAATGAAGAACATTTGAGTTACATCTCAAGAGATAGATGCGAGTTAGGCAGAACAGCTCTGGCCTAGGAAACAGATAGAAGAAAAAAACAGAGATGTTGAAGACAAAAAGTATAGTACTACTGGAGAGGCTGGGTACATGAAGTGAGGAATAGCCCAAGAAAGAGAGATAAGAAATGGAGGGGTAAAAGAGGGCTGCGTAGGCTGGAGTAAGATTATAAAGATACTCTAAGGATGTGGTGATGGGTTTGTATGTTGTTTGAAAGATAGTAGAAATTTTGCCAAGATTTATTGGCAGAGAAATGATAAAAGTAGTTCCAGTTTTGAGTATGTTTGAAATGAGGATATTGTGTGAAACCAATTCGAGGAGGCAAAAAGAATTATCCAAACACCTTGCATCAAAAGATTACATTTGAGGAAGAGTGGGAAGAGAGGTGAATTGCAGGATATGAGGCAGAAGGAGTTAAACAGAATGTGTTTTCCATTTCAGCAGCTTACTGGATGCTACACTCTGAGTATGCAGGAGGATGAGCAAGTTTTTGGTCAAACTGCATCAACTTTTGGATTTGATGTGCCTCAGGGACCTGTTAGAAACATACAGAAATGCAGTTGTAAAGTCAGAAGAGAGGAAGGAGCTTACACCATCAGTCTAGGCTGGTCTGCATAAAATCAAAGCCATGAGAGGGCATGAACTAAGAAGAATGAATTTTTGAAGGCTGATTAAAGGAGGAATCACAGACTAAGAAAAGAATAGGAAGACCAGGAAGTATAGGACAGACTGGGGGCAGGTAGTTGAAGAAGGAAAGCTGGTCAGTATGATCTGAAGGCCACCTGTACCAGACTTGCTGGTTGGCTTCAAATCAATGTAGATTCCTACATTCTACTCCTTTCCTACTGAGTCTGAACTCCAGGCATGTGGCCAGGGAATCTGCATTTCGACAAACCCTCCAAGTAATCCTTACACACGCTATACTACTCTACCTATGAGGAAAACTAAAGACAGGACTTGGCACCTGGCAATTAGAAGGGCTCTGGGGATCTTATGCAAGTTATTCTTAAGGGCTGTGGAGACAGAGAACAGAAGGCATTTAGGTATACAAGGTGCTGTGGTAAGAAAATATTTTTTATTTTAAGAAAGCAGACAGTGAAAGTGAGTCCATACTGTCTGAACTTCTAGAACGATCTATTTTCAAGGAAAAACTTAGCTTTTGTTTGCTTAGTTTAATGAAGTTTATTATTTGTAATAGCCTTACAGTATTTTTAGGCAGAGAGGAAGAAGACAAACACAGAAGAAAAAAATGTGGAGAAAATTATAGATGAACATAGAGGATGAAGCCAGGATACACAGGCAGGAGTCGATGGCACAAGAGCAGGATGGATAAACCAGTCCTGAAAACAGTTTTCCCAATAGGGCAGGGTGTGAGAAGGGCTTTGGGAGGGATACCAGCAGTATTTCTCAACTCTATTATTATCAAGTAATAGCAAATATTGATTATAAACCCATGTTAAAGGCCTGCTGTGGCTGAGTGTACAAAGATTGCTCTAAACACAAGGGTCACAGTGATTATAAGAATATGACCAATGACTACTGGTACAGACTTTACTTAAAATTCAGTTCTACCTTTAGACCATGAATCCAACTTTTGGTTCAGAAAATAGGTCACCTTATTTGCACTGCTCTTAATATAGGTAGGTAAATAGCAGATAAGCAAGATATTTTGATGTCAGTTTGGCCCAATTGAAGAGGTATCTTCTTGAAAAAAAATGTCAAGAGCAACATGATTTTTAAGACTGTGGGGATGTGATATATTTTAAGACAGGAATCTACGATAGGATATTCTCAGAGATGGACAACTTACCCTTAGAACCATCAGATATTTCCTGTCTCGACTCATCGAGATGCTAAGTAAGTCACTCTGAAGCTAGGGCACAATCACTTGAGGATACTTTCAACCCACGTGCCAGCTCCCAGCTCTCTCTCTCTCTTCCCGCCTTGATGATTCTGATAGCTTCTTAGACTGAAAGCCACTACTCTGAAGAAAATGTCTCACAATCGAAGTATTTTGAACATTTTGATTTATTTTTAGTTCCTTAAAATTGATATGAGTACTCCTTTTGTAATTTCAACAAATTAATGTTTCCTCTCAAATGAAAATGCAATCGTGTGATGAAACAATCACTTTTCCTCCTTTTGATTTTCCTTACAGCACTGTCACAGAAGGTTTTAAAAGGGATTTTCACTATGGTTAGTGATAACCATTATATTTGCATTTGATTAATTATAATTGATAGTAACACCTACATATTAATAACATTGATAGTTTGTAAAAGTATTCTCAGGTGCATTATCTCAAAATTGTTTTGGAAAAATGTGTACTTAAAATTATGTTCTTTTACACAATACACTGTATTGACAGAAGAAGAAAATGTGTCACCATGTTTATCATGACTCACAATTTCACTTAAGATAAGAATTCCCTAATTAGCTTTATAAGCACAAATTGCACCTGGTCCTCTTAGGCACTTCATGGTGAGACTTTGAACAATATTTCCAAGAGCTTTTATATATAATCCACTCATATTTCTCTCATCCATAAAATTCACAAAATTTACTTGGGTAGCAGTCAGTGAATGACAGTTTTAGAAGGGATGCTGAGTGAAAACCTCAGGTAGCACATTCTGCAAACGACATGGCATGGACATGGAATTTAACATGACTGCTAGCCAGAGTGCCCCAACCATCAATGGTCATACTGGAACAGGACTGAAGAATGGCGCACATACCAAGATGTCTGTACTAACTTTACCCTGTAGGAATGTCCTCCCAGCAACCTTTCTCACTTGACCAGCTTCCTGACTGAGTGCTGATTATGGTTTGGAATGGGGTTTCTTTGCAACCTCATATATCATTAGGGTTCACTAGAGACTGGAGTGCTTATGTCCTCCTTACCTTTATTTTTACTCCCTGGTATTATCTATGCATAAGTTGGTCTTCTCCACAGTAATCTGTTTGGAAAGCTGGACCTCCAAATTTTCACATTTGGATTTTCCTTGCCATACTAAGCTCAGTGTTTTGCACAAAGTTGGACATTATTTGAATACCACTACCCATTAATAATTAGTATTCGAAGTAAAAGTTTTTACTTAGTTAACATTTTAGTTTTAAAACATATTTGATATTAAATATATTCTCCTTCCTTCCAGATCCAACGTTTTTGAATGGTCTATTTGTCAAGTAATGACCTTCATATTTAAATCACAAATATGATCAAATATCCACAGCACAAAGGCATGTGAGTAAGCACTATTCCATTAGACTGTCTATACTAGTGAAATAAATGATAGGATTCATAATCTTATATAATGTTGAATGAGTTCCAAGTCATTGTGGTTAGTGTGCCATAAGCCAAGGGCATCGTGACATGGAAATGCTTGTTCATATAGTCCATTAGGGACAAGTTCCTCTTTCAAACTAAGGTGTAAACTTAGTAAAGTCAATGGGGGTGAATGTTTAAGTGGCTCTTCTTTATCATTTTAAAAATAGTACATTTAACTACCAATAGCCAAATGTATTATGTGTGTGTGTTGGGGAAGCAGATGTGAGTGGAGGAAAAATGGGTGGTAAAGCCCCCACATATCTGTCACAACTTACTGCATTTGGTATTTGCAGGGCCGGGGTCATTCTTTTACAGAAGAGATGCCTCATACTTTTTCCACTATTTCTTTAAATGACATTCTTGGCTAAGCTGTCACAATATTTTTATTTATTTATCATTGTCAAGAGTCTGATCAACATTCCTTTTGGTGGCATTTGGATTATAATTTAAAATAGATACTTGCACATGACATATGTGTGGGTGAGTTTAGCAAGTCTGATAAATCTGTTAAGTCCCCAGCTTATGGTTCTCCTTTCACAGATCAATATGTACTTTAGCACTTGACCTTGCTTGAGTGGAATTGTACTATTAAATCCAATTGTCCAGCATATTAACACTGTCAAATGAATATACATACACATGCATACATGTATTTATACATATATACTTATATACCATATATATTGCCACTTTCCTTTAAATAACCTAGTAACTCAAAATAAAACAAAACAAAATCCAAATTGTAATAAAACCTACAGCACCATTACTAAATCCTATCAATCTATAGGAATTTATTTGGAGAAGGATATGGTAAAAGAAAAACATTTTAAAAATTAAATTAAACATGCCTATTAAAATAGGCATTGATATTCTAAACAAAAATATCATGAACTAAATATATGCATAATGAAATAATTATTAACTTAAACATAAATTTATGCTTTTTAGCCATATATTATACAAGATTTATATTAGTGAAAGGCCAAAACTGACAAATAACAAAAGCTACTTTCTCTCACATAAAAAATCCTCTAGCCTCTTAAATATGATTTTTATTTATTAAAGGGAAAGCTTTTAGCTACAAAGCTGTGAACTGGCTAAGGCTGAGTTTCACTTTCATCAGGAGTCCATCTTTTAAATGGTAGATGAAGGTCTAATTGGGTCTTTTTCTGAATCTCTTTCCTATGAAGCCATACTCCTTGCATGATACACACAGTCAGTGACAACTGGAATTCCAAGTCATAACAAAGTCCATTAACCTTTTCATCCAACTGCACATGTCCAGTAGAGGAACAAGAAAACAAATCAACTTTGGAGACCATGGCCTGCAATCTCCACACACCAATCACTTTCACTTAATGTTGGCAAAAGCAATTCCAGACCGAAGCTTCCAGCATCTATCTTACAAACCCCACGTAACATGAAAACTATGCACAATGGAAGAAACTCAAGGAGATGCCTGCCTGGTGACATCGCAGTCACAGTCTGGGAGATCTGCATCCACACAGCCGTCCTCTGCCATCCTCCGGGCACACACGTCCTCCACCACCACCATGAAGCTTCCACTTGCAAAAGTTAGGCTCTGCAGAGCAAAAGGCTAAATCTTGCGTGGGGATGAAAGTGTCCCCTTGTCTGTGTATAGAAGTTTGAAAATGTTCACTCTAGACAAATGGTCTCTGCCTGATAACATGACACTGAGCAGTGACAAGTGGTCATGTTTCTAAATAAAACCTACATTCATTAACATGTGCCAGGCTTGATCTCCGGAATGTAGGCCACAAGGGTAAGAAGGGGAAAAAGCTCAGTGTAATCTGCCAGGAGGAGGAGGCTACAGGTCTAAAGAAAGGATATCAAAAATAATGCCTGCTACAGACACTATGCTGTTCTGTTAGGACAGTCAACTTTTCCTTAGGGAGATTTGTTAAGATGGGAAGGCTATTTGAAAAAGAAAAAAAAAAAAAAAACTCATATGCAAGCCCACAAACAAAACCTCCACAAGTGCAGACAATCTAAGGAAACTGGAGCAACTTCTCTTTTTCAGCGGGTAAGTAAGGGTTTGGGGGACTCTTTGAGAAGGTAGGAGGGAAGAGATACGCTGTGTGAAAGTACTTGACCTTCAATTTCCAATAGCCTATTTGAGAGCGAAAAAGAATGAAGAAGTATTAGTCTTCCTTTGACATACCTGAAGCCCTTGCCTGTTTAAAAATAATGACAAAAGGCAAGAAATATACTGTGCTATTTTAAGATAATTTCTAAAATCTATTGATTTGGTGGGTGGGATTTCAGATAATGTTTTTCTTTTGTGAATTTCAAATGCTTGCACACTTTCTGCATGAAGCATTTAAGAATATCAACAATATCCAAAGCTACAGACCACATTATATTCTGTTTAATGAATCAGCATGGAAAAAGTTGGAAGAGGAGGAAGTTCTGTCCTGAATGGAACTGAATCATAGAACTGAGCTTTGCAGCTGACGACTCAGAGTTGAAGACAGGTGTGGGAGATGGTCATTCAGTCTGTTGACTAGTCAACAAGGAAACAGCAAATGCTATGGCCAAGGGTCTGGTGAGAAGCTGAACAGGAGCCAGTGAATCCAATGTGGCATTAAACTCCAAGGCAAATTAGTGACCAACATGGCATTTGGTCTAATTTTAAAGGAGGTATTAGAAATGGTACTGTGTGTGTGTGTGTGTACAAAAATCTCCTACAGGATTGTATCTGTGGATGACTAGACTATACAACTGGAAACATGAGCATATTAGTGACTATACTGAGAAGCACACATACCTTTTATATATATTTGATTCACGCTTATTAATGTGTCTTTTAGGAAAGTAAACTAAATAACATCTAGAAAATGCTCACCTGACAAGCCACACACTACAATGTTATAAATGAACCTGACTCTGAGAAAAAAGCCTCACCCTCCTGGGTAATGTCAGCTTATAGACTCTAAGCCAGCTGTTTAAAACTAAATTATATTAAACATCACCTGTGACAGCTGTAACATCTCTGTACCACTGAGACAATGAAACCTCGAAAGAAAACCTAACTAGTTCAGCTGAATTACATGGACTTGCAAGTCAACTCATATGTCAGAATTTGACAAAAAAAAAATCCCTGGGGATTGGACTTTGATCACATGATAAAGCGAGAGCACACAAGGGAGGGGTGAGAATAGATAAGACACCTAAAAAACTAGATAGCATTTGTTGCTCTCAACGCAGAGAAACTAAAGCAGATATTTTAAAGCAACTGAGGCTAATAGGAGAAGGGGACAGGAACTAGAGAAAAGGTTAGATTAAAAAGAATTAACCTAGAAGGTAACACACACACACAGGAAATCAATGTGAGTCAATGCCCTGTATAGCTATCCTTATCTCAACCAGCAAAAACCCTTGTTCCTCCTATTATTGCTTATACGCTCTCTTCAACAAAATTAGAGGTAAGGGCAAAATAGTTTCTGCCGGGTAGCGAGGGGGTGGGGGGCAGAGGGAGGGGGGGTGGAGTGGGTGGTAAGGGAGGGGGTGGGGGAAGGGGGGAGAAATGGCCCAAACATTGTATGCACATATGAATAAAATAAAAATTAAAACAAAAATCCCTGGGGTGTTTACCAAGTGGGAGGTCTCTCTGAGAAGGGAATTTACCGCACAAAAGACTTTGATTTCTGCTTTTGAAATAAGATTTTGTTACAATTTAGTGACAAAATCATAGCCTTGGGATTAAGACGTCATATGTCTAAATGGTTGAATTCCTGCCACGATGTTTCTACCTCTGTGTGTCAGCGCAGAGCCCGCTCTTCTACTGGGTTTCTTTGCATGAGTGCATTCCCACCATGAACTCGAGGAAAGGCCTTCTGTCATTACATCCCCAGAGGCTAAAAGTCACTGTCATGTTGTAAGGACTTTACAAAGAAAGAACTGGCAAATTAGATGTCATAGTCATTCAAGAACCTAACTTCTGTTCCACTACACTCTTTCTAACCCGGAAGAGGAAGTCACAAACTTGCTAGGCAGGAGATGGTTTTACTCTACAGAATGGGCTTTAGAGTTAGACAGCACAGGTGCTGCCACTCAACAAGTGTGTGGTCATGGGCAAAGCTAAGCCTCAGCCCACACATCTATAAAATGGGTATAATGTAGTGTTGCCACTATCATTAAGTGTCCCCACTATCATTTAAGAAAACGCACATGAAGCCTCCCATGTGGTCATTGCCACAGTGGTCAATAAATGTTAGATAGTACAGTGCAATTGCCAGACATTTCAAAAATTATAAACATGGATTCCAATCTCGTTCTGTATCACTAAAATAAACTATAATCTTAACTTCTTGAATTTGATGACTTCCTTATATAAAGAGTACAATACTGAATGCTTTCAAATACCAGCACACAGAGTAGCCCCAGTCTCAGCCCTAGGCACTGTTCTTGGTGCTTGTGATATACAGTGTGTAAAATGGAGAAAGGTACCTGACCTCATGGAACCTTTCCAACATGAAGAAAAATGCACGTAAAGTAAAACATCTAATTAGTCCATTCCTTTTTTCATATCAAATAACTTAGTGTATTATTCAATTGTATCAAAATTTACATCACTGGTAAAGGTCCTCATAAGCTTTTCTCTGACTTTTTTACCTTTTAATCACACTACCCTACTACAACAGAAACCGAATGGAATCCTCTCTGGTAGGAGGCATGTGCTTGTAGTTAACATTAAAAACCAAGTACAAAATTACAATAATGAAGCAGCTTATTTTTCCAGCTAAGCAGGGTGGCAATAATCAGATTTATTCTTATACCCTGATAACTAAAAATGTAAGAATGTGATAACTTTTCTTTTTCTTTTTTGCTACTACAGACAAAAACTCCCTCCACAACACTGGTCAGTAGTTTCTCTTCCTTCTCATAGGTGGTTAAACACCCACAAAGCTCTAAGTAAAGAATTTTCTCTTGGGAACAGATGTTGCTAGGATATGACTCTCCCTCTCAGCTACATGCAAACAACACTAGATTTATGAAATAGGAAGAAGAATCATCCAGTTAATGAAAGTGCCGTTTATGAGAACAGCATGAACGTTTTGCCAAATGGAGGGGTAATACAGGAAGAGAGCGAGCATTTTATTGGGTTGCCATTGGCTGCTCGGGAAAGGGACTAAAAAGGTTTTAACATTCTGCGTGCATGTGTTCTACTGAATTGGTCCTTTTACCTGGCTGCAATGAGGTCCAGGAGATGCTGCCACCGGTCATTGACCTTTCCAAGCTTGTACTCAATCTCAGATGCTTTGCTTTCATGGCTGGCTTTAGCAAGTCGTTCTCCCATTTGCTGGAGCTGTATTTTGTTCTCTTGGGCAACAGCAATTTCCTCTTGATAATCCTGCATAATAAATAGCAATCACAGAGGTCAGAAATCATATTCTTAATGCATTCACCTGGTTCCTCCAGAAACATGATGATTACCGTTCTCTACTGCTTGGAAACAGTTTAGGTGGGAGGAATGCTGTGTGACCATCAGTCCATGTGCACAAGAATTAGTAGTACCTATTTTCAGTATGCATGCAGAGTCTAATTAAGTTTTTAGACAGGTGTTCTTAAAGGAATTGAGCTTTGTATTGACTTAAAATGGGCATTAAAAAAACAACAAAACTTGTGGCTCAGCGCTACAGTGTTTGACTAGCATTTTTCAGGATCTGAGTTTGATCCCCAGAACGACAAAAGCAAAACAATACAAGTATTTACATAGATAGAATAGACAAACTCGAAGGATTTAACACTGGGCAATTATACCTTATTGCTCTAATCACTAACCTGATGTTACCTTGTAAAACACGTGCACACACACGTCTATGTAATTAAAATATGTATTTATATATGCAAATGTGTGGATGTATGTACATGTCAATCGTGTTATCTGTGCAGAATAATTCGAGTTCCTTTATTTTAAAGAGAGAACTCTATGCAACACCAATAGCTGCAACATGTAAGTCAGTATCAAATTAACTCTTAAGAATATAATTTTAGCACGTCAGTTGGATTCCAGCCTTCATGATTTACCCAGCTTCTATGCTACCTCACTTGAGACTGTTTTGGTGAAAGAGAACAGAAAAGAGACAGGTGCTAAATAAAAGGATCAGCTTCCTCACCACTACCTCCATCCCCAGACTCTCTTACTCTTAGGCCAGAATAAGTGGCAGCATACGTCTTTAGTGTCAGCCTTTCCTTTTCTGGTTGAAAGTCTTGTTATGCAACAAATACCACCTCAGCACAAAAATCAAGTGAGATGGGCTTTATACAAGCATGGGTATTTTTAACCTCCTTGTGGTAGTGTCATAACCTGGTTAGACTCCAAGTCATTTGCCTAGGTAAAAAGGGCCTCAAAGGAATGGGAGATGAATGAAACTTCATTCCATCCCAGTGCTGGGAGCTGGCCATCTGCCCAATACTGCTGTCTTCCCGCCTTTGTGTGTTATTTTAACAGAATGCGATTCAAAGACCAAAACATCAGGCGTATTTATTAATAGTTTCTTAATATTTCATCACAAATTTGAGGCTATTTTATGAGGAATGTTTATTTCACAGGAATTATTCCAAGCCTCAAAAAGCACTTATAGTAAACCAATCCTCTTGGATTAACCATTTGCGTCCATGCCAAGAAACACAGATATTATTGGCTTCCATTTATTTTTTGCTATGTTGTCAAAATTACTGAGTTCTTTCTTAGCAATTTTTTCCCTTTACAAAAGGGACATCATAAAGAGGCAAGCTCATAAGGCCTTTCGTTAGTCTCATGATTTTTGTTGTTGTTGTTTTTGGCAGTTTTGGGAGCTGAACTAATAGCCTTGCACTTGCTAGATAGGCACTCCACTGCCAGTCCTCTTTTCCCGGGTTATTTTTGAGATAGGGTCTTGCTTTATGCATGGGCCAGCCTAGACTGTGATTCTCACAGCTGGGATAGCAGGCACATGCCACCCAGTCCAATTATTGGTTGAGATGGGGTCTTGCAAAGTTTTTGCTGGGCTAGCCTTGAACCACAATTCCCCTGATCTCTACTTCCCAAGTAGCTAGGATTACAGGCTTGAGCCACTAAGCTGGGCCTTATGATTTACTTTATATACAAACTAGGACAGTTAGTATTTCAATGAGGATTTCTAACATTGTACCAAATAATTATCTCTGTGTACAGCTAAAGTTCTTCTGAGTTCTGGGTTATATTTTGTTTAACAGTTTTATTTCTGTGTTCCATAATATGCATTCTGAATTTCATAATGAAACAACAATAATGATATAGACATATTTAAGCACGACTCCTCTTTAGAAAATTCTATTACAACACCCAGGGCATAACTCATGTCTAGGACAGCATTCTTTGATATCTAGAAACTAGCAAAGTGCCACTGTCAGCAGATGCTAATATGAAATTCCTGTGTATCATCTCAGCCCAGACATTAGAATGTTTTGATATCAAATAATCAAATGCTTACTCAGAGAAAAGAAACCTATAAAGTAACCAGTGTTACATTCTTGGAGTTTTTCTTTTCTTTCTGTGTGTGTGTGCATGGATAAGGATAAGTTTTCCTGATAACCATTCATATTTCTTTTCAGAATGAATGAAACCATAGTTCTCCATTCAGTGAATTTACACTGAGGGATTGTGAAAAGTCAGGCAGTGCTCTGGGTACAGGGAACTAACAACGAACAAGACAGACAAGGTCTACTTCCAGTGAGCCTTATAGCTCAGTGGGGCTTTCATTCCAGAAGACAAAGAGCAAGAAAATATGATAAACACATTAGATATCAAATGGTGGGTGATGTGTGATAATGAGAAACAAACTCTGAAGTGATTATTTGTTCTAAAACAATGTGGAAATAATATGGAAATCATCAAAAACATTTGAAAGTGCTAGTCAATGTGATCAACCCTATAGAAACATGAAAAATGTCCTGGAGCCAAATGAATACACAAATGATTTAATAATATATATCTAATTTGAAAATACCAGGGAGCCCAACTTCCCAAGAATGAAGAGTTCTTCATTCCTATTGGTGGTCCATAGATCATGTTTTATAGGGAAATTTTCAGTTTCATTTACCCTAAGATTTTTTTCCTTTTAGTTCCTGTCTAGTGATTTCTAGCTCTTAAAAATAAACAAAACTAGAGAAAAATGATGCCCATAAATGATTCCTAATGAACAGGTAGCATAAAATCTATTTCCCCACAAACTGAACATCTCTATATTTTGCGTGTAAAGTAGGCCTTTCCATGCAAGTCTATTTTGCATTGGAAAGTTAAAAATTTTTAAATATAGTGCTCCTGAGAAGAAAAGGCATTGTGAGTTAGGCCACCTTCTGCACTGGTCTAAGGTAAGCCTGGGCATGGGGAAGAATGGAAGGAAGCATGGCGGCAGTGTGACCTCTACCTTCTTCAGCTTCTCTATCATGTCCTCAATGAGAATATCTCCATTCTGAGAAACTTTGCTTTCCATTTGAGTCAGCCACTCGCACAGCTCCTTGTTCTTCTCACTGAACACCGCCCATTCGTTCAGTCGCTCACTTACTTGCTGCTGTCTTAAGGAGACCTGGGAAGTTTAAAAAGGGAGAATACACAAAAGGATAATGAGAGAGAACCTCACAATAAACAACGTTGAGTGCACCAATGTGGGCAACAGCTGTGTGTCCCTTTAGGCCACTGTTTCCTGAAATACAGGATTTGTCCTCACAAGTGGGAGACAATGAACCCTGTGACTTTTTTTTTCTGAAGACTCACATGTACATCAGCTTATTAAAAATTCCAATTAATCCAACTCCATAAAATAATCGGTTCAGCTTAGATCAGATACATGACCAGGCAATATACTAATACTAAAACAGAAGAAATTAAAAAGAATAGGGAAGAAAGGAAGGAAAAGAAAAGAAGAAAAAATAAGGAGGAAAGGAAGGATCAACTGAGCCTCAGATGCCTTAGAGAATGGAGCCAAGGGGAATGTGGAAGTAACTTTAAGTGAAGACATGATTCCTGTGGTCAAGCTCTAGCCTGATAATTTCACTTTGGGCAAGATCCTTTATTTCTATACTCTTATCATTTTTTATTTATGTGTACTTCTTTTTCTTCTTTTAGCATAACATCTTTAGTGAGCTATAAGTCACACAACATATAAATCATCTTAAAGTATACAATTTAGTGTTTTTTAAATATATCTACAGTTGTGAAAATGTCACCACAATCAATTTTATAACATTTTCACTCTGTAGCTATCAGCAGTTACTCTCCTTTTCCTCCCACACCCCTCCCAGCTCTACCCTACTTTGCCTCTTTATGGATTTGTCTTTCTTCATGTTCCATATAAATTATGTGGACTCATCCAGCAGTTGTGAATATTTTCCTTCACTTAGCATATTTTAAGGCCCATCTCGTGTCATGTACCAATAGTTCATTCCTTTTCCCCCTTTTTTATTGTTGTGTTGGGTGGGGGTACATTGTGGCATTTACAAAAGTTCTTACAATATATCATATTTGAATTCTCCCCCTCCATTATTCTCCTTTATTCCTTTACTGCCCATTCCTGGAGTAGTTTCAATAGATATGATTTTTCCATTTACATACACGTGTACACAGTATTTGTACTATATTCACCCTCCTTCATTCTTACTCCACATCCTCCCCTTCTCACTGGTACTAACCTCCAGTCAGGACCTGTTCTGCCCTCCTGATCTCTGATTTTGTAAAGGAAAGTCAAATGACATTTTTGTTTGTTTAAGATAGTTATATGGTGTTTTTCCTTGTGATATATCCATGTATATATGTATTATAACCCAAATTGATTCATCTCCTCTATTTATCTTCTTTCTACCTTGGTCTTCTTCTTATGGTGATTTCAGTTCCTTTTAATTGCTAAATATATTCCACTATATGGATGTTATAAATTTTATTCAGCTATTTATCTGCTCATGAACATTCCAGGTGATTCCACTTTTTATCTACTGTTATGCACAGTCATGCACAAGTGTTCATGTAGACATGTTTTCATTTCTTTTCAGCATATGCTTAAGAGCATAATTTCTGGGTCATATAGAAGCACCACAGATATTTTTCTGAAGTGGGTGCACATTTTATGTTCCCACCGACAGCATGGGCTCAATTTTTCTACAGTCTCATCAACTCATCAATGTTGATGAGTCTGATTATAGTCATGTTAGTAGGTGCAATGTGCCTCCTCGCTGTGATTTTGAGTTGCACTTGCCTAACAGCTAAGGATGTCGACAATCTCTCACTTATTTCTCGGCCATTTGTACATCTTCCTTGGAATGGGAAATTCATTTGCCCATTTCTAATTGAGATGTTTCTTTATTGTGGAGTTTGAAGAGTTTCTTAAACACCATAGATACTGTGGGCTTATTTTCTTATTTCTGGAAAGATGCTTTCTAGAATTCTAAAATTCTATGACTTTATAATTCTCTTATTTTTTGCAGGATTGGTTATGTTACTAAGTACTGTTTCTAGTTGAGCTGAAGTACACATTAGGAAAACAGAGTAAGATCTGAGTGGTGAGAGGAAGGCTCAGAGAGGGTCTTCCACACAGACATGTTGACAGTGCTGGTCATTCTATTAGTGATCCACTGGAATCAAATGTCTTTTTTCCTCCCAACATTTTATCATAAAAAATTTCAAATAAAAGTTGGAAGAACTATGTGCTAGGCAAGCACAATATATGTCTTATGCCTATAATTGTTAAAACTCTGCCACATTTTACTTTAGTATGTATATTCCTTTATCAAGAATACATTCACTTTTTGTGCAATTTAAATGGATCTCATTTTTAAGATGAAAATGAAAATATTTCCAAATTTCCATATGCTTCCTGGTTACCAGTTCTGCCTAGGACTGGCTCTGCTAATTATTAGGCAGATAATATTTAAGATCCCACACAACCCCAAATGTCTGTGATTCTACATCTGAGAAGAGTTGGGAATTAGGCCATGAGCCCAGGATACCTTCCCCAGGGCATGTGAGCTATCCAGATAGCGAACCCCATAACCTACCATAGTTTTTAAAATTTTGCCATTAGACATTCACTTTTTTGAGTTAATTTTGATCTTTTAAAATAAATATTTCTCTGGATTGTGTGTCACTGATAAATCCATTAAGTTTTTTTGTTTTTACCATTAATAAATCCATCTTATCATTTAGTTTTGAGGTATAATAATGCAGAATAGACAAAGAACAGTAGACTCACTTGGGGTGAAGTCTGATAGGAATAGAAAAAGCTAAGAAAATATAGCCTCAAAAAGTTTTCTAGAAGCTGGATACTGGTGTCTCACACCGTAATCCTAGCTACTTGAGGGGCTGAGATCAGGAGGGTTGTAGTTCGAGGCCAGCTTGGCAAATAGTTGGAGAGACCTCATCTCCAAAATAACCGTAGCAAAACAGACTGGAGGCGTGGCTCAAGCAGTAGAGCAATTGCTTTGCAAGTCCCGAGTTCAAACCCCAGTCCCACCAAAAATGAAGAGAAAGTTTTGTAGACAAATTTCCCCTTCTCTAAGCTCTACTCAGGATGGTGCTGAGGTGTAATTGTTTAGTACCCTTTCTTTCCCAACTCTGAGAGCAGAGCGACTCTTAGCTGCAGAAATGCTAATAGTGTGAATTCTTGGTGGATGTTTTTCCTTTCATTCACACAGCTTTGGAGACAGGGGACTGGCTGTAGTTAAAATTCTGGTTGAATTGATGTTGTGAGCTGAAACTGTACTTTCATAATTGGTAGGTGCAAGAAAAGGTTTGAAGCCCCTGCCTTAGACTTAGGATGGATTTGTCTTGCTCTTAGTAACTTCCTCCAAATGCTGGCCATGCTCCAAGAATGAATCTCATGGTCCTTACCAACATCTTCAGGGAGGGTTACTGCACAATGGAAATATACTATTACTTGGAGAGATAGGTACTATTATCTCCATTCCAGAGACAAGGAGAGCGACAACTGACCAAACTTGAGGTATCTGCTTATGGTCAGTATGAGACAAGGCCAACAAAGCTGGAGCCTTTGATACAGGTTGCAGCATTGTGACTCCATGTCCGGAGGCAACTGATGTTCAAAAACCAGTTTCTATTGCTCAGCGATAGGACCAGGACAAGGTGAGTCATTTTTGCCAAGCCTTACTCTCTTAAGTTGCAAATTAATCTTAAATTTCCCCCAAACTCTTCACTCAAGTGTTTACTGTGTATAGAAATAAGTATCTTCTGTGTGCCGAGCACACACACACACACACACAATATAGTAGGCAGATGTATGACACAAACTAAAAAAAAATAAGCTAAGAGAGGGACAGAAGGGTGGCATAGCTGACTGTCACTATGCTGCTACTATTCATGGCTAATACTTTATACATGACGCCCAGGGCATCACCTGAGTTTTTAATTGCTTTTTTTCTCCTTGGCTCTCAAGTATTCAAAATCTCCAGGAAACACCCTGAATATGTATCCTTAGTGTTTATCACACCACGAAAGTGCTGCTATCATTTGCTTGCTGTGGAACCATAACTGGCTTGAAAAAACAGACAGGCTACAAGCACTGGGTAGAAATCAGAACCAAAGCTTTTCAAAAGATGAAAATTCATAAGGAGGATAGATGGTTTTTTAAAATTTATATATCTAATACTTCTGATGTATATCAGTGAACATTACCATCCTTTTCTTTGGGTTCAGTGGAAATCCTTAATTTATCAGCTCAATGATATTTACATTTTCTAACAGAACAATCATGCTGCATTGCCTCCAGAGTGAGACAGCTGAACAGGAAGTACATCCTTTACCACTGCAAATATTTTTACCATGACATTTTGAAACAAAACAAAACAACAAGCATTCAGCCATGTTATATATTTATACTTCACCTGGAATTGCAAACAGTTCTACAAACCAAAAACAATAGTCAGATCAAGTGCAACCCATGGTTGGACCTAGGCATAACAGACCTTAGGAAGGCTTTTTGAAAGCAGGATTCTTTCATGGATTTATTCTGCTCTGCCACGTTTACTTACAGCCCATCTTCCCCACTCTTGTCTGCAGTCCCAGCTCACTTCTGACTTCTCACCAACTGCTTCGGAAGGAACAGAATAAACTATTTGCTGCTTAGCAGGATAACGCCATGTTCGACTGAAGTTTTTGACTTTTATGATGAGACACAGGCACAGGCTCATTTCCTGCTGTGGTTTTCATACTTGACAGAAGCTCACCGGAAACGACTAACTAGAGAACTAGTAACTTATCTATGTTCCTTCTTGAGCGTTATGACTGAACCTGGAGCTAAACTCACGTGTTCAAATAATTTAATGTAGAATGAAGTAATATGGGGTAAGTTGCATTAGCTTCACACTTTAAGACACTGATAGAGAAGTTTCAAGAAATACTGTCTATTGCTGTGCCTTCTCTTCACAGCTGCGTCTCCTTCCAGGTGCAAAGTATTAATCTCTTCACGGCTTACTATGCGATCAGCAGCAACTTCTGAAATGCATTTTCAAACAGACTGGTACCGAGATATATCTTAGTGGGCATTTTATAACATATGGATGTTCAACTTAAAATGAGTAATAATACTACTTTCTGTGGAATTGTTACACAACTTTTCCTGAATCAGAAAGTACTGTATAGCCACGATCCTCTTAACCTACAAGATATTAAAAATCTTGCCACTATTTTATCCCCAGAGGAACATAAGTATGAAGACATAAAACCACTGCCTTGCTTTCATTATTAGCAGGGCATAAGGAACACTTAGCTTTTCTGGGCACTGGGGGCACAAAGAAATGCTCTTTGCATCTGAGAGGCTCATGCTTTTGGAATAAGGCTGTGAGCATTTGTTAAAATTGGTAGAGTGTGTGAGGGAAGGTTCTTGTGGAAGGGAAAGGGTGATTGGAGGAGATTAAGGTGAGGGTATATGGTTGATGGACTTCATATACTTATATGAAACAGAACTAGGAAACCTCTTGCAATGCTTTAAGTGGGACAGGGAGGGGGTTGACGGGCAGAGATGGTGGGGGTGATTCTAACCAGTGCACAATATAAGCCTAGTTGGAATTGTCACAATGAATCTCCCCTGTACAATGAATATATCCTAATAAACATTTTTTTAAAAAGATCATGAACATTAAAAAAAACCCAAAAGAATACACCACATGACAGCATAGACCAGAAGACAAGTGGCAGTTCATAGAACAAAGAAAATTCTGAGGGTGGAGCATTTCAAAAGCAAAGAATGTCACAGGGGTTGTGGGATGTGAAAGAAAACAGGTTAGAAAATCAGACTGGAAGACACAGTCAGCCTAGTCCCCAGGAGTGCACAAGAGAGGTCTTGAGTTGGATTTGCTTCAGGTTTTCCCTGAAGCCAAGTTCTAACTCTGAAGTGTTATTTCTCTGTAGCCTTTGCAGGCATCAATTAGCTATAGAAATATGGCCAGGTCTAATTTATTTCATCTAATATGCTAAAAATATTAAGACAGAAAGTAGTGCTAGACTTGTCTCAAAAATAAAAGAACTAGATAAGTAGGCTCCCAAAGGTGAGTGAATGACACTGTGAGAATTTCCCATTCTTTGCACCCTAAATACTTCCCTTTTTCTGATATATCATGACAAGGTCTCAATGTTATAAAATGATTGGCAATTGACTGTATGATAACGTATTTCTTTCAGGCTGAAGAATTCAGAAGAGACTAACATGAACACCTCCCTGCAGGCTTCTCATTTATTCACTAAGAACATGGAGCTCTGTGGGAAGCAGCTCCATTTATGTTGAACTTACATGATCCACAGGCTCATGCAAGTCATCTCTTCTGTGTCCTCCTCCCTTTTCTTCTATGCTGTTAGGGTTTGAACTCAGAGCCCTGCACTTTATGCAGACGCTCTACCACTTGACCCACACCTCCAGTCCTTTTTGCTTTATTTTTTCAGATAAGGTCTCCTTTTTTTGCTTGGGGCCAGCCTTAGATTGCCATCCTCCTACCTACAGCTTTCCACATAGCAGGAATGAAAAGCGTGTACTTCCATGCCTGATGTTGGCTAAGATAGGGTCTCACTAACTTTGCTTGGCTGGCCTCATACCACAATCCTCCTAATCTCCATCTCCTGAGCGGTCAGAATTACAGGCATGAACCACCAGGTCCAGCTTCTGTGTCCCTCTTTTGGAAGTATATATTCATAGGAAACTGTTCAAACATCTACCCAGGAGGCCATAGAGTCTCCCATTGGTCTGTGACAAAAGTCTGGGTTTTCTTTGGAATATTGGAGAGAAGTATTCCTAGGAACACATTTCTTATTGATATCAAATAAAACATAAAACTGAGCCTCTTAAACTCTCCTCAGTGGTTCCAGCAGCATAAGGCTAAGCATCCCTTAAAGTCAGAGAAAGTGGGGAGTGTGGGAGAGAAAATAACACCAGTGCAGTGCAGTGCAGTGGACACAAGCACAAAGAGGCATGAGGCTGCCTGGGCCCTAGGAGATCCCTTTTCAGCCCCTTCCTGCTCTTCCTCCCAACATCCACATCTCCTAGCCAGACCCTCTGCTCCCTGTCCATTACTCAAGCTGCAACTTTATCAGTATATTCACTTGTTCCCTGTACCCCAATTGAGGTCCTCCACCCCATCTCAGAGCTCAGCTCAAGATTTACCAATGGCAAGAAGCCGGTCCTTTATTCTCTCCAGTCCTCACTGCCTTAGCTCTCTGGCCTCTTTATATATTCTTATGTGTTGCTCTTACCTATGATATATGCGCTTCCTGATTAGATGGGTCCTTCTAGACTGATTCTAGTCTCAGCTCAAAAGTCATCTTGATGGTAGGAACATCCCTTACAGCTGAATGGTAAATGAAATGACCTATTTACCAAGCCAAAGTGTATCATAGCCTATAATGTTCCAGACTGGTACTTAGGATGCAGAGGTGACAAGACAGACATGGCCCTGCCTCCCAGGGAGAAAGCCTACAAGGTCCTTAGGCAGTCAGCAGTTCTTTGCTTGGGAGCCTTTATCTGGGAATCTCTTTTTGCCTAGCATGTCTTCTCACTGCCATCCAACTCATTGTTCCCATTCATATCCAGCCCAGAGCCCAACTTGGAATCTCTTTAAGTACTGTGCACACAGAAAGGTACTTAATAAATGAATAAGGTGTGACCAACAATTCTGTATACCCATGAATTACTAAGAAATAACTAAGGTAAATCACAAATGACAAGAAATGTGCAGCTCCAGAGTATTAGGTGAAACTGCAAATAAAACAATGTATTTTCCCCCATTTTTTTTGTAGCAATACTTTAGTACTGGGGTTTGTATCCAGAGCCTTGTGCTTACTAGGTAGGCACTTTTCCACTTTAGCCATGTCCTCAGCTCTTTTCAGCTTTAGTTATTTTTTGGATAGGGTCTCATGGCCAGCCTGGACTGTGATCCCCCTACCTCTGCCTCCCAGATATCTGGGTTATAGGCATTCATCACCATGCTTGGCTTGTTGCTGAGATGGGATCTTGTTAACTTTTTGCTTGGTTGGTCTCAAACTGCAGTCCTCCCACTCTCCACTTCCTGAGTAGCTGGAATTGTAGGTAAGAACCACATCAGGCGATTCCCCCACCATGCTGAAAGGATAGAAGATATCACCAACACTACCCAGCTAAAAATCACATCAGGAAGCCTTGACATGGTGCTTCCTCCTAAAATAAATTATGCCAGCCAGTGAGAGAGGAAGGAAGAGAATCTAGCACAGATGCATAAAAAATTGTTGGCATATAGTTGTGTTTAGCTAAAATATTACAGCAGTAAGCACAGGGCTCTTCCTCTGTCCACATTATGAGTGACAGGGAGGGCTCAGCAGGCATCGAGCCATTAACGTGGCAGATCACCTCCCGGTTTTCCATTGCGGTGAGCTGCTCCCACACTTGGGCTTGTTTTACCTGGTGGCACAATTCCTCCCACTGCCTCTGCAGAAGCTCGATGCGTTCGTTAAGGATGGAGATGTCCTCGACACCGATAAAGGCAGCAAGAGTATCCCTCAGCAGCGTCAGCTCGGTCAGGTCATCCGTCCAGCTCCCCACTGCATTTTCTAATTCCTGGATTAAAACAAAACCTTGAGTAGCTACAGGCTCTGCCCCCATTGATTCAGGTCCTCCCATCCTGCTCCACCTGAACATGTAACTGGGGATCTGCTTTATTTACATCCTACATAATTTAATAAATTACCAAGTTCATCTGATCCAATACCAGAGTGGCTTGCAGGGTTTTCCTACCATGTATTTACCATCTCACTGATCTTTTTGGATGGCTTTTCCTAAATTGAATTTTCATCATGCGTTGATCTTCCTTCCAGTGATTTCAGAAACCCCTAACTCATCCTTTCCTTTTGTCCTGAGTGTCCTGTCACATTAATGAAATAGTTTAAACAATCTCCCAAATGCAACATTCCTTTTCAATCACCATGAGTTGCCAAGTTCTGTGATATATACTTCTAAAGTAGTAGCAAAGTTTTGCTATTGATGCTACTAAATTTAAAATAATTCACTGAGTATGTATTCTGTAGGATCAGAGAGTGATTTCAATTGCTGGTTATGTACCTGTGCGGATGCAGAATGATTTATGGTAATAAACCTTGCAACAATATTTGAATAAGTTGACATTAGTTTTTGCAATGCTTTGATGGATGGCCAGTTTTGCAATTTGCGTAACTCTTGTTCCCTGCCAGCTAATTTAGTGTATGAATAGAGAATTTCATATGGTTGTTTCCTCTCTTTTTGTCTCTTCACACACAAGAGACAAGTTTCCAAAGGGAAAAGTAATTAATGGTACTGTCTGTGGCTAACTTTGCAGGCAATTTAGGCAAACAGGGTTTTAGCCTGAATTTTTGAGGTAACTGCTTTGTTTTGCTGCTAAGGGTAGCTTAGGGAAGAGTAGCAGATAGTTAAACCAAAATACAACCTTTCAATCTACAAACTCAAAAAGCAGGATATTTTTCAAGTATTTTGGGAGATGAAGATGAGGTCCATGGTAACAGTAGCTGCCTGAAAGATCAAACTACGCAGGTAAATTAAATATGCAAAGTTCCTGTTTACATTTATACATATATTAAATCGCTATACCAATGTAAAGAGTTTGCTCTTTGCATTCCAATTTCTGGCCCTAACTCAAATATCGAATTTGGTTTCTGGATTAACAAGGAAGCAACAGTGATGGCGTGGTGGTTCACACCTGTGATCCCAGCACTTGGGGGCTGGTTGAGAAGCCCTGTGCTAGAGCACCTGCTTAGCAAGCATGAGACCCTGAGTTTAAACTCCAGTGCACCCAAGACAAAACAAAACACAGAGAGTCTTTCTCTAGCTTACAGCCCCCAAATCTCAAACCACACAGAGAACATCATGTATATGAAAATATTTCTGAGCTGGTAGAGTGTCCCAAGTGATAGAGTGCCTGACTAGCAAGCATGTGGCCCTAGGTTCAAATCCCAGTACTGCCAAGAAAATTGTATCCAGCAATTGGAGACTCAGGCTGGACAATTGTGAGTTTGAGGCCAGCCTAGGCTATGTAGTGCGACCTGTCTCATAAAAATTAAAACAAGGAAAAAACAAACAATAATACTACTGTCAGAAACCAACTACTTCAGGTTCTGTCCATTAGATGAGTTAATGTGGTAAAAATATAGCCTCCAAATTCAAACTACCCTGACATTTACTAACATTTAAGGTTTCTAAGCTGCAGAAGCCTCAGTTTTGTCATCTGTAAAAGGGAAGTAACAGAGCGACCTCCCGAGCTTGTGCTCATGACAACTGAAATAGCCCTGGCATAGTCACTGGCACATAGGAAGAGCCTAAAATGCCCATTCTTCCTTATCAGAAGCTTTCTTTAATATCCTTCTTATAAATTTGTGATCTCGGGCTTAAAATAAATCTCTTTAATGTTCATAACCTTCACATTCTTTTTTTCTTTTTGAGATGTGTTTTATTGTGTAGCCCAGGCTGTCCTCAAACTTGTGATCCTCCTGCCTCAGCCTCCCACATGCCAGACCACAGGTAGGCACACCATACCATGTTATCTACACATGCTTCTTAATATTACCTCAAGATAATAATTCCTTCGCTTTCTGTCTGTGATATAAAATATACCACTTTTTATCTTTCCAAACCGCCTTTTCTAAGTGTCAAAGAGTATTTTAATCAGAATTACCCTAGAGCAGTAGTGCACAAATGACTGGGGAATACAGGGAAATGTATAATTTGAAAGAAAAGCATTTATAAAGGAACTTTTGACTTGACTGGCATATTGCTTAGCAGAGAACTGCTGACTGGGCGTGCCACCTGGCCACACAGGTGTTCATGGAATAAATCCTACAGCCACTAAATCATGTGGGTCCTCATGACCTCATAATGCAGGGAGTGGTCTGTGTTAGCCACTGATTTGCTTCCAACCATGATTTGAGGCAGTGATCCTAATCTTTAAGTACTTAGAGCTGAGTAATGGAAGGATTGGGTGACTCCTTCACGAACTGAGGTCAGCTCTTCTTCCTGCTTTCTTTGCAAAAGGATCTGGAGGGCAGGGCATGGTCCAAAGCCACTGTCTACAGATTTGCCAAACTGCCAGTTCTTGTTCTTCTTTCTGTAAACTATATTCTCCTGCTGGGATGACAGTCCCCATGTGGATACTTTGAAAGTGCTTTTATTGCTTTTGACTCAGCTTTTAAATATCCTTTATGTTGTTCTTTAAAATTCCATTTATTTCCTTGAGGTAATCCATAAACTGGTCTATAATTTCATCAACTACACTAAAACAGCAAAGTGAGTTTCAGCAGAATGCTGTCTGTCCTAATGGAGTCCCCAGGGTCTTGCATCCCTATGTAGACAGCCGTCAGAGTCTGACTGCATTCTGTGTTCACATACACTTTGCCAGCACAGGTAAGGGGCAGGGACAATCTCCATCCTGACAGTTACCTTGCACCGCATTTGCTCTGCATGGAGCTCATCGTGGTGATCTGGGAGAGGCTGGGAGAGCTTCTTTTTGAAAGTTCGAAGTTTCTCCAGAGAATCGGCTATTCCTTTCTCACATTTTTCCCAGTCCTGTGTGGGGGAGGAAGAAATTGCAATTTTTTTGGGGCAAGAAATTGGAAAAACCCCATTTTTTTTAACTGTGAGAGAAACAAATTTGCACTGATAAACAGTAAGAGGCTATATCCACACCCATTACTATGGTGTGTAGCAATACCACAGTCATCACAAGAGCTGAGTTCAAATTCAATCGTTTGGCTTCAATAAGCAGATAATGCTCTAGGTCTCAGTTTTCCCTATGAAAATGGAAATAATACAAACTCTCTCAAATGTTGGAGGATTACAGTAAGCAATGAGTATTAAGGCACTAAGTGCAATGCCCAGAGAACCATGGATATGCAAACATGCTGGCTGAAGCCAAGTCAAATGCAGCAGTTCAATCTCAGGTCTTTGCTTCTTTCCTAACCTCACCCGTAACTGTACCCAATGTCTCTAATCTTGCAAATGCACCATAAGGGATAAAAAAAAAAGTCTCTTCTGGATGAAAATAAATATGAGGAAGAGAGGAAAGACAGAATATAAAAATAATATTACCCTGACTCTGACTCGACTCAACATATAAACAGTAAGAACCATGCAGGTTTGAGTCATTGCAGACATGGAAACACACAACTGCTATGGGTGTCCATCTTGTTAGTTCTGGAACATGTAGCGGTCCAGTGCAACACAGAAAAACCCATCCCCAAAGAAGAGGGAGGAGAAAGTTAATGCACAAGAAATGCATATCCAGTGTCAAGTGGTGGCAAGTGCTCTGGGAGAGATAGCAGGGTCCCCGATGGGGACAGAAGATGGTGGACAGAAGATGGTGGGTCACCACATTCTGATGGGAGAAAACATGCACTGTGTGGTTCTGCCAAAGGTCACATGGCAAACTGGTAACGATAGCTCCTTCTGGGAAAGACAGAAAAATTTGGGTGGTGCTATGAGGGAAATTTCAGTTTTTACTCTCTATACCTTAATTGTTACTTGAATTTTTATGACATGTGCATTTCTTTTGTAATTAACAAGTAAAAGGAAATTAACCCATATCTGGTGTCTAGTACTGTCAGAAATTAACTTCAAGTAAACAAGTTCCCTCTGTTCTATCCAATACTAACTATTTTGTCACACTGTCCATTCTTGGCCTCCAAATCCCCAATCATTCTCCCCAGTGGCCACCCCCCACATGATAAACTACTGATCTCCAAAGAAAGACAATGGGTATAACAGCTACAATTGCTGGGTAGCTAACATGCAAGTGGTTTCCTTTACACTGTTTGTCTCATCACCATCAGGCTTTTCTTGTCTGGATTCTTCCCATCTTTTCTCCCAACACATTATTTTTAATATAGCAACCCACAGGCACTATTGCCACAACTATCTTCTGTAAGAAGTGTTGACTGGAAGTGTCTTTTGTTTTCAAGATTCTTATTTCTCTTTAAATTTTCTTCACGGAGCTTCCTAGAGAGCACCATCCTATCTCCTCTTCCTAATCACCAAAAACTAACAAAAGTCCCCAAAACTGAAGGACAAAAACCTTTGTCTATAAAAAACAAATTTGTCCCAGTCCCCCCTTTTATAATTTCTCCATGTTCTAACTACACCTGGTTCATCATTGCTCAGCATTAATGTTGGTATTTTTATAGACAAAAGACCCTCTTACTGTTTAAATTTAATAACATTCTCAATTAATCAGAACACACCTTGAAAGCCATCAATACGTCAATAGCTGTGCATTGATCTAACACAGATAAGGTCAGCTGTTTTTTTATGATAAAATTAAGAGATGTTAGTGAAACAAGCAAAAACGTAAGATATGGAATTATAATGATGATTTTTGCCATATATATCAGAGTGTTGGTAAGAGCTAAAAATGGAGATGTAGGATAGCAGTGGTGAGAAGATACACCAAGACGAGGTTTCACAAACATTAAAGTTTGGATTCATAAATACTTCCTCAGGGCAAGGATACAAACTCTAACAAGAGAGAACAGGGATTCCCCTTTCTAAGGATGACTTGGGTTGTGATTTTATAACCAAGTCTTTTGCTGCATTAATTATAAGGAAATAACTTAATATCATGGTCTGCAAACATCTACCAAAGTGGATTTTTTTATACATGAACTGACAGACCGATGAGACAAGCAAATGCAATGACTCAAACTCAATGTCTGATGACGTCTTGGGAATACCTCCAAAAATCACATCACAAATAAAGTAAAATATATGAGTAACATGTTCTCTACAGAGTGATTTGCAATGTCTTAAATCCTTCCTGACAGCAAGAAGAAAAAAGCACCAGATATATTATATTACTGATGAATGTGCTGTGTGCAAACAATAGAGCTTTCTAGACAGATGTTCAGTGGTATTTTGATTGGTTGCTTTCTACCTGGAAGGTAATACATTATAAAATACAATTCATAGAATGAACCCAATGGGTGTGTATACTTTAAGCAATCAAAAATTCAAAATCTTCATTACCCTTATTATTATCTTTTATCCGAACAAGTGACAAAGCACATTTAATAAATAATCTCAAAGTACTGGTAATTATCAACATATATAAAACCTTAGCACCTATTGTATTCACTTTTTGAAAATGATAACATTAACAACGGTAATTACTATCATTTATTTATTGAGTGTTCAATGTGTGCCAAGAAGGTTACCATGTAATTTACTGTCATTATTTCATTAAATCCTAATGGTAGTTATATGAATGGAGGAGGTAGAATTAGAACCACTCTACAGATGAGAAAGCTGAGGCTTAGATGGGAAAATTGGTTCAGTTAATCAGGTTATTTGGTTTACTATGGTTCTAACTTGGGTTTACCTGAATTTAGAGCCAAGCCCTTCTTCAACTACTGATTTAATGATGTAGTACTGGTGGAATGGAGAGTGAGACAGAGAAGCTCGTTGTGGGAGGTGAGACTAAATGCAGGCCACCACTCTACCACTGGGCTACATCTCCAGGTATGAATAAATCTAGACTTCCTTAAACTTACTGAGTGCTCAGTATGTAACTTATTTCCAACTGAGGGCTTCACACACCTCCTGGAGATCATATTGCCCAGACACTTGCTGGATAAGCCAAGACAAATTGAGACTATCTTTTTTGGGTTGGTTTTTTCCCTGCTATAAAATACAAGATAGCAATCTCAAAAACCATTTTAGAGTCAGGTTAGGGAGTGGAACCTACTCTTTGAATTTCTGTCTGGCTTTATAAAGTCATCACATGGTTCAAGGCTTAGCACTGTCATCAATCAGAATTCATAGCTTGGACAGTCTTATTAGAGTTTAAATTACTTTGCTGGGGGGTTTTCCTAAAAGATGAAGTGCTGAAAATTGGGAAACTTTTCCAATTTGTGCAAGATAGGGCAAAGTCTTAAATAAAATACAGAGAATGAAAATACTTCAGAGCATTACTCAGTGATTGTGTATGAGTTGCTGTGCAGGAAAACAATGGGAGGAAATGGCACAAATATTAAAGGTCTGTTTTAACTGAACTTACTTTCAACAAGAAGGCCAATTTTTTCTTCTGCTCCTCCAGACACATGCTAGCTGACTTCCATTTCTCTTGGATTTCGGTGAGTTCAGCCTGCAAGGCAGCCTCAGCTGCACTGTCAGCAGAGAGCAGCAGTTGCTTGCCTGCTTCCACAGTCAGGATGTAGCTACCTTGTTGTCTCAGGAACACCTTCTCTTTGAACTGAAAGGAAACACAGCTTATTACTTTTTCACCTTTTCTTCATCATTTCCCTATTATTTTTAAATAACCCTACATATTAGCATACATAGCATGTACTTTTGCATCCAGCAAGCATTTACTGAATGTACATTGTGTAGGAATGAACCATGCAAGTTAAATACATTCACCATACAATGTGAAATTTGTCCCATAAGACTGATGCTCACAGAATACAGAGGGACAGCTGACCCAACGTGGAGAGCACAGAGAGGCTTCCTCAAAGTTGTAAAGGCTGAGTGAGTGTTGAAAGACATGGGGAGACAAGGGATGAGTGTGACCAAGGCTGGGGGATAGAAGACAGGGAGAAGACAATGGGACAGTCACTATATAAAAGATATATGATGAGTACAGGAAATGGGATACAGTCTTCAGTGACTGTAGTGAGTGATGCATGTTATAGAGTGATAGACAACAAAGTTTTCTGGTTTGGTTTTTTTTTTTTTGGTTTGTTTTTGTTTTGTGTTGTTTTGAGACAGGATCTAACTCTATACTGTAGGCTGGGCTCAAACTCATGATTCTCCTGCCTCAGTTTGCCAAGTGCTGGGATTACAGGTGTGAAGTGCCATTCCTGGCTAGGAATTTCACTTTTACAGTAAAAATGACAGACTCACCAAGGAACATTAAGCAGGGAAGTGATACATTTGGATTAAAGTTGTAATGAGGCATTTAGCAATAGGGTAGGAAGCAGAATGGAGGAAGGACATGCATCGAACACACTATGACAAGTAAGTAGGCTCCTGTCTTCCTGAGTGAGAAGTGATGAGGGTCTCGCGAAAGCCAGTGGCTACAGGGATGGAGACTTGTGGGCGATTAAATATTAGTACTGAGAGCATAACTCTACAATGACGCCAAAATTCTTGGACTGACAGATCGGAGAGTGACAACATTTCCTCAGACTGGGGACATGAGAAACAGAGAATGTTTGGCCCAGATATCACAGGCTCTGTTGAAACCCATAGGGTTCGTTACAGCTGTGATGCACGCAGATACAAATCTAAAAGGTAGTTGGATCCACGAGTTGGGACCACAGTAGGTGACTGGGACCAGAAGATACCAATTTGCCCTCTTCCTGACAGTAGTGGACAGTTGAAGCCATATCTGTGGATGAGTTAGTTCTCTTGGAGAAAATCTGAAAGAGGAAGGAACCAGAAGCGGTCAGCTTTAAAGGAAGAGGAGCCCATGAGCACAGTGGGAGGTGCTGGCGTATCTCACATGCTGGAGCCCCAAAGTCCCAGGTTGGTGAAAATAAGGGACTGTCTTGGAAGAGACAATGTGTTCAAACAGGACTGAGCTTTTTACCTACTCTTGAGTGCCTATGTGACAATGTTCACTTGACTTGCTCATGAGTGATGTATTCACTCAACACAAAATCTCCATTCCTTGCCATTGCCTTTCCCTCCCTTCTGGGCTACAGGAAGCTGCTGTGGCCTTATGGTGTGAAGTGGAGGAGTCTTCGGAGAGGCTCAGATTTAACTAATCCCATCACTCCATACGGTCTTTGCGATGCAATTACCTCAAATATTTCTGTGGACATTGGAGAACAATGTTTGTCCTAATTCTAGCATTGCTCCAGAGTTCTGAAAAGCTGAGGCCAAGATCAAGCACGCAGTGGAAACGCAAAAGAGTTTGAGAGCAGTGTGTTTGCATCTTACCTGCACTTCATCAAAGAGGGTCCTCACTTGCTGCATTGCTACAGGGATGCTTCCAAGACCACTCATGGGAAGATAGGACACTTCAACCAACCATTTACGGAGCTTTTCTGCCATCTCTCTGTAGCGCTGCCACTGGCGGGTCTGGCTGTCAATGATCCCTCGCCTCTGCTGGGCCCTGCGAATCACTCCTTGCCATTGGTTACTGAGAAGTGTCAACTTCAGGTTGAATTCATCCCTGGTGATGAAATAATTACACAGTGAAAACCTGTTATCTTGGTCCTAGTGGCATAATCAGCCACTGTGTATGACCACAAGTGTATCCAAGGCAGAGATTTCAAATTCTATGTCACGCTCTGCTACTGGGTTCACTGCAAATAATTTTTAAAATTAGACTACATGGTGTCTGCAAATGGAGAGTGTCTTCATTCATCAGCATAGGGTGATAGCAAATCTACACCAGGAAAACATGTGGCTTAGTTACAAACTCTGTCTTCAGCTGGAACCGTAAATCACTGTTATTTTAGTTAGAATCCCAAGCCACTGAAATCAAATTACATTACATTAAAAAATTTTTATATTCCACAAATTCTCTCAGTATTCTATCATAATTGGTAGCTCTAATGTTTAGCAAATTATTCTACATATTAATGTGCATTTTAGGCCAATTTTACTTTGTTCTTAGAGAAATAAGCACTATCTGACTATTTAGGCATTGCCATTTGTATAAAGGTTATTCATATATTTAGAGATAGCAAACTTTACTTGAGCTTTCTCAATTTCGGGCCAAAGAGTCTAGATTTTTAAAAAGGTATTCTATCGCTGTGTTTTCTAACTTAAGAAATATTAGTAATACTTTATTAAGTTTTAATTAACTCTAGTTGTGGCTTAGGACTGGCTCATAAGAGTTCATCTAAAATCAAACAGGATGAATGTCATGACAGATTCTTGAGGGATTCAAGTTTGAGAATTATAGTTTAACACTGCGTGTGCTTTCTCTATGACATTGCTTTTGCTTCTTGTACTCAGATACATTCTCTTTCTTCTTGAGGGTGGTATCAGATGGAACTGGACTTACTATTTTAGAATTCTATATTATTGACACTTCCTACTATGTAGGTCTGCTGTAAACACTGCTCTCATAACCAAATGTGCCATTAGTATTTAATGGTTCAATTTGAACAAATGATTAACGCATAGTGAAAGTTAAGATAGTATTAAAAGAAAAGTACTGAATGAAAGCCCAGCAAACATTTCTTATGTTCTCTCACTTTAAAAACAGATCCCTAGGATAACTTTAGATTTTGCTAGTCACTTCTATCTTTGAAAAGAAATTCTGATATCTACCTACCTACCTATCTATGTATCTATCTACCTACTTACCTACCTATCATCAATCATCAATCTATCTATCACCTACCTATTATCAATCTATCATCTATCTATCTTCTATCTATCTATCTATCTAACTATATCTAAAAGCAATCATAGTAAAATCCAAATGTGGAGAGATAGCTTTATGATACTTCATTAAAAGTCATAAGCATCATAAACTCAGAAAATGTTTAACTCCAATATTTGAGAATATACCAGAACATGAAAAGGTCCATGTGTGTTGTTTCCCACACCAAGTAACTACCTTGCCTGTCTTTGGAACCCTTGTCCTCGCTGTGGTACAACCAAGCTGTTCTGAGCTACCTGCCAGCACTATGAACTACTTAACCAACAGTATTTCCCTTGAAGGTGAAACTCTAAAACATGAACCTCATGAATTAGCCTTCAGAACACATTTGTCATCTGGAACCTTCCCATGGTCAATGGGCTGTAATCTGATTTTTCTTTTCTCATAGCTGCTTTTGAAATTCTTTATCCTTAGGTCCAACTTTCCCATTTTTATCTTTTTGGTGTTTTTCCCTAAATGTTAGCATTTAAGATTTCATAGATACTGGCTTGCATGAGAATTTCAAATTTTATTTTACTTAATGACTTGAATGTTTATAATATTGTTACAGAGTTGGCTAACAGACGATAAAGCAAAAGATAAAAGTTAATTGCATTTGAATTTGTTTTATTTTGAAGGTCTTAAATTCTTAGTAGCGTTCACATTAGTTTGGCTTGCTTAGAAGAGAATAAATATGATATCACATTTTGTTGGTCCAGCCTTACCCTTGAAAATCTTTCATGTACTTCCAAAGAAGCATCCACTTAAAACCAAAATTGCTTCCAAAACATTAAAAACAAAACTCTCAATAAAAATGATTTTCTAGTATTTTGAAAATGCACTAAGTTAATTATAATCACAACTACTGGTTCTGAATATGGGAAGGTGGGGCATATGTAATAAAACAAACCACGGAAATGACATAAAGTGAATATTCTCTCTAGGAAATGGGATTTCCATTCCACATGCATAAATCTAAAGAGAAGCCAAATTTGCACCCCTGCATTTTTAATGAAGAGTTAATTTGCTATGTCAATGGACAAGAAGAAGAATTTTGGGTTGAAAGCAGATTGATTGATTTTAGATGACAATTTTCAAACATGGAGGAAGAAGTAGCACAGCCTGAGGAAGCTGGCTACTATAAAACCAGAACTGACCCTGAACCAGACAGAGGAGCACACAGTCTGATTCTGCTGCTACATATTAGCTGACCTTGGACAAATCAGTTCACATATGTGGGCCTCAGGTTTTTCATCTCTAAGTCAGGGAGATAGACCAATGATATCTATGCTCCTTTTAGGAATAAAATTTCTGTAATTGCATGAGAATATTAGAAGTATCTGTTTACAAACCACTGATACCATTCTTTCAGATCTATTCATTAATTCCAGTTCTTACTGAGGACTAGCAAAGGTTGGCTAGGTGATTTCCAATTACTCTACGTCCTTCATATCATATAATAGCCGTTCTCTACAAAGATTCAATACTCACTCATTTCAGAGATTCAGACAAGGCTTTCCTCCAATTACTGGGTTCCACGATAACACAATTGCCTCAGGAAGATTGGATACATGCCCTCTAATCTTCTTATTAAAAAGAAAATGACTAATTTACTGAAACCTTTCCTCATAATAATTTATCAAAGATCTTACCTGTCATCAACTTGACCTTGTTCTAGAAGACGCTGCCCATCAATAATGATCGAGTGCAGAATCTGCTGACGACTGAACATCTCAGCTTGAAACAACTATAATTAAAAAAAAAATGAGGAACATACTTCAGAGTTCCTAATTTCCTGATACTTTCCAAACATTATGGTTTTAGCAAGGCTATGAAAAGTATCTTTAGCTGAATCAGAATATGCATTAAATCCAGGAGTGCAGACATAATTTTTAAAAAATCATCCATTAAGATAGGCTCCAAGATAAGGTTTAGTTTAGGGTTTGCTAAAATTCAGTGACAAAAAGTTTGACTTATATTTCCCTCTCCATCCTTTCTTTCAAAAGCACCTAATAAGGTAAATTAATGCACAATTTGTGTTCTGGTCCTTTTTTGAACACAGTATTTTTCAATTTAACTAGGTTAATAAAATTACTTCACTATTGAAATAATAATGGCTCAGTATTGGGGCACATGCTTGGTATGCCTGAGTTTAATCCTTACCTCCATTAAAAATTTTAGGTTAAAAAAGTTCTCAATAGTAAGGTCTTTTCAAATTATTTCTGATTTTTTTTTTTTTTTTGAAATGGACAGGATCTCACCATGTTGCCTAGGCTGACATTGAACTGGTGGGCTCAAGTGATCCTCTTACCTCAAACTTCTGAGAAGCTGGGACCACAGGTTCACATACCACCATGCCTCGCTTCCCATGTTTTTCTAACAGCTTTACTGGGATAGCTTAGTAATGATAATTTACATAACTTGAAATGTGCACATTTAAATTGTCAAATTTAATTATTTTATTATATTTCATATTTGTGCAACCATCATTACATTGAATTATAGAACATTTACATCACCCCAAAAAAGAAATTCTGTGCTCATCAGTAAGCATTCCTTGTTTCCTCCAAACTCCCATCCCCAAGCAATGCCTAGTCTGGACATTTTGCATCAATGGAATCACATAGGATGTAGTCTTTTGTGACTTGTTTCCTTCATTAGGTATAATGTTTTCAAGATTCATCCTTGATGCAATCTATATCAGTACCTTGCTCCTTTATATTGCCGAATTTGATTCTGTTACATGGATATTATACTTTTGCTTGTTTGCTTTGTTTTGTTTTGGGACAGGGTCTCACAATGCAGGCCAGGCTGATCTCAAACTTGTGATCCTCATGCCTCCTCCTTCAGAGAGCAGGATTACAGGCATGTACCACCACAACTGGTTGTTGGATATGGCACATTTTATCCATCCATCAGCTTATGGGTATTTGGTTGTTTTCAATTTACTTACTATGACTAATGCTACTATGAACAAAACACTTGCACAAGTTGTGTGTGGACTCATTTTCATTTATCTTGGGTATATACCTGAGAGTGGAATTGGTGAGTTGTTTGGTAACTTTGTGTTTCAACAATTTGAGGAACTGTCAAACTGTTTTCCAATGTTGCTTCACCATTTGCAATTTCCACCAGCAATGTATGTGAGCTCCAGTACTTCTATCACTTCACCAATACCTGTTATCTTTTTCATTGCAGCCATCCTAGTCTGTGTGAAATGGTACCTAGTTGTGGTTTTAACTCATGTCAATCAACTTAATTTCATTGTCTATCAACTCAGAAAAACTGGATTTAAGAATGCCTTATAATCTTTAAATTCTCTACCTTTAAAAAATTTCAGAAAAATGCTTTAAAATTAGTTTTTTAATGTCTGACTTACTTTTTCCTCTGCTTTTAGGAAAATCTCATTTCTTCACGTGTACATATTTCATAAACACATGGAGTCAATGAATTACACCATTAAAACAGGAACAAAGAATTGATGAATGAACTTTTGCTTTACAGTTTGTATATAGTTCTCTCTCTATGTTTCTGGAGAAACAGTTATGCAATTTGACCAAGAGGTACACTTAGAGAGTGCCCTTAGAGATATCAGGAGTTTGATTTCCTGATATCAAATTTATATATGCTTTTTAAAAAGCAAAGAACTCTCCTCTTCCAAAGACTTTGATCAAAGTATAGTCTCTTAAGCAATTAACCTTGGCAATATTAATGTAGTCTACAACATAATTTGAAAACTGTATAATGTTCTGCACTCCTTCTACTCTCTGGTCCAACCCTTAAGCCCCAGTAAGTAGCTTTTAACCATCATTCTGGCACTTACACTGCAGGTTATGGATGGCTGACATATTCTGTAAACATCTACAGAGTAAAGAACTGGACCAAATTTTGTAATTAAGGTGTCAAAATCTCAAACTCAAGAAAGCAAGTGAAAATGATACTGCATTCGGGCAGGCAAAGCACATTTTGCTTTTCCCACATGGCATTCCACAGTGTCTTGCAAAGGTCTACTTTTTCTTTTGTTATTCCAAAGGCTACTGTCACAACTTACCTCATGTGCTCTCTGCTGTTCCAAAAGATGTTGATAATTGCCTGAAATCTCCACTGCTAACTTTTGTTCTGTTTGAACCAGGAATTCCATCCAAGTTTCACATTTTTCCAGGAAAGTCTGATGTTGCAGCAAAAATGACTGCAACTTGCTGACAGGATGAAGGAAAAGGAATCATGGTTATTTTGCATATTCTCTTACCTCTAGCATATGATACTAGACTAAATATTTTCTTTTTCTTTTTTTTTTTTTTTTACAGGTATGTCTTTTAATAAAGTCAAAGAGGTTGGTTAAGAGAGAGAATTCAAAAAGCACCAGGGTAACCAGTCAGTCCTGAGTTACACGTCATTAAATATTTTCTGTTTCCAGTTCTAACTGGACCACAAAAAAGCATTCATACTAAGTGAAAGAACTTAAAAAAAATTTTAAAAAGTAAAAATTTAAAATGTTACACTTTTAAATGTTAAAATTATGTAGTCCTTTGAGTATAATCTTACTTAAAAGAATTTTTATTATTAAAACACCATGTAGGAGCCAGGTACTGGTAGCTTATGCCTGTAATCCTAGTTAACTCGTGAGGCTGAGATCTGGAGGCTCAAGGTTTGAATCCAGCACTGGAAAATGGTTCATGAGATCTCATTCATGAGATCCCATCTCCAAAATAACCATAGTAAAACGTGCTGGAGGTGTGGCCTAAGTGGTTAAGTGCCTGCTTTACAAGCATGAAGCCCTGAGTCCAAACCCCAGTCCCACCAAAACAAAATGAAATAAAACAAGAAAAAAAAAAAAAAAACAAGTCAAGACCTGGGTTCAATCCCCAGTGCTGCAAAACAAGCAAAGTACTATTTAGCACATTAAACAATGATAAACTATTTTATCATCTGAGTTTCCCACTTCCAGTTCAAATTCTGTCAATTCTATTGGAAAAACCCAAAATTTTACAGATATACACAAATCATGAATTTATATACTACTGTTCTATGGGTGCTATGATTTGGATGAGTCCCTTTCAAAATTATGAGGTGGGGCTTCAAGAGTTGATTAGGCTCTGAAGGCTCCCCCCTTCATGAATAGGATTAAACCACTGGCTCTCTTGCCTGTCAGCTTTTTTCCATGTGAGGGGACAGAGTACACACACTCTGAGGATGGGACAAGGGGACACCATCTTGGACTCAGAAAGCAGCCTTCACTATACAACTAAACCTGCTGCCACCTTTAACCTTGGACTTTCCAGACTCTAGAGCTATGAGAAAATACATTTCTTTCCTTTATAAATCATCCAGTCTATAATATTTTGTTATAGCAGCACAAAAATAAAATAATTGGAATGACCAAAACATCCTACTTACCTGAATCTTTCTGTAGTCTGAGAGGAGATCAGAGACCAGTGACGGTTCAAATTCTGCATCCTTTTGATTTCCTTATCATTCAGGGGTAGCCTATATCCCAGCTCATTTAGACGGTCTAAATCCGGAGCCATGCTGCTGAATTTTAACATCTGCCCCTGCAAGCAAGAATAGCAGAGCAAGATTAAGAGAAGCAAGTTTAGCACCATTGTCAGAGATGGCAGAGCTTTTTAACATGCACGTGACTTTCTGATTTCAGGAAGAAGCTGGTCTTTGGTCTGCTGTGCACTTTCTGGCCACATGCAATCTCCAGAGGAGGAATATAGAAAAGCTGTGTGTCCTGTGAAGCTTGTATTGCCACTGCTACTGCCCCTCAGCTACTCATTATCCTGTCAGGTGTCAGCAGGTTACGCGTTATCTCATTTACATAATTAATTTACTCCGATGCAATTCTCCATAGAACTGATACAGGATGACAATTCTGCTGATGACCGAAGAGGCTTATGTCACACTCTTAATCTATTTATGCTTATCCGCTCCTTTATTCTTTAATGATGATAATAATAATAATAATAATAGTTGCAATAGTATAGCTCTTACCATGAACAAACACGATTATAATGGGTTTGCTCATTTTACCCTCAAAGTAATACCAAGGAAATTAAGCAAATTGCTCTAGGTCACACATTTAGTGAGTGGTACAGTTAAGTAAGCAACAGTTGTTGAGCTTTTGCTAGCTACAACACAATTTCACCTGAGCTTTGAAAAGACTACGTGTTGCTTCGAGAGCTTCAGTTTTAGGTCTTTGATGCCAACACCAAACTTGGTGAGTTTCAACCAAAAGAGCAGTTTGCTTTCAGAGCTCTTTTCTCCCTGAAAATGGGGGAAAGCTACCTGGGTCCTTTTTTTCTAATGGGCACTGGCTACAGGAAGAAGAAACTGTCAGGACACCTTAGGCTCTCTGTGTGTTTTCTCTTTGCATGCTCTGCAACGGCTCATGACCCCTGAAGGAAGGATAAATCTCAATTACTGAAGCCCAAGCCTAAATATCAGATAGCAGAATTTCCATGAGTAGAAACCAGCGCTGAAGAAAACTGACGTGGGGAAGATAAGCAGCATGTAAGAGGAGCCCCTTGGGAAAGCTGGACCTAATTGGCCACATTGGTCTTTATCCTAAGAACAATAGGAACCCACTGAGGAGATAAAATTTGCATGTAAGATCAAGTTTCTACCATCTAATGCGTAAAATAATAGGAGTATTATTTTATCTACTTTGGTAAATATTTAAAATGGTTCACAATTTAGTATTTTATTTACTTTTTTCTTTCTAAAAAGGTATTGATATTGACAAATCATGATTGTATACAGTCGTGGGGTTCAATGTGATTTTTGGTATGTGGAAATGATGTTTTAGGACATGGATGTGATGGGATGATTGGATCAAGATAATTAGGTAAAACTTTTAAAAGACAAAGGTCATTCTGGCAATCAGAGGGAGAGGCAGTGGGGACTGATGGGTGTGAGATGCAGGAGGCTGTGTGGTTAGAGAGGTGGGCTGTTTTGACCTCGGAGCAGATGATGTTAGAGATAGAGGTGGGAAGCTCAGAAGCTATGAAGGAGGTGATGGGTTGGGGATGGGGCTGGTCTGGAGGTGGAAAGGAGGGATGAGGTGATTTCTAGGACTGGTCCTGGTGGGGCTCTGCTCAGGGCTGGGCAATTGGCAACACACAGTTCTCTTCTCTCAGGAAGACAGAACTGCTGAGGAAAGGAAGTCTGTGTCAGTTGTGAGTTTTCCTTATGAGTCTGAGGACAGAAGATAGAGGTCGGGATGAAGATTCAAACACCCTTACCTTAAGTTCTTCCATCCTCTCCTGGATGGTGGAGAAGTCAGAAGAGTGGGATGGGTCCTGTTCTTGAAGGATGTCCTCCGCTTCTATGATCCAGGCCTCCAGAGCCTCTAAACTCTTGGCAAAGGTTTCATAGTCAACAACTCCAGCCTTTTTTTCCACAAAAGAAATAGGTACTTTAGTGAAATAAATTGATTTTAATGAAATCTAGTAAACGGGAAATTAAAATTGTTTTTCATATTCTTATATCAAAGTGCCACTTGTAAGACACTGTTCCTAAAATAACAAGATAGAATGCTATACATTTTCTTTTCGTTTATGTAGTTTGTCTAAAAATTAGAATTATTTCCTTGTGCCATTAATCAACAACCAATTAACATTACCCTTTAAATACATCATGCATGAAAAAATTCTTATAAAAAGATGTCAAATATGAATATTAATATTAAAGTCAGTCAGTATTTATTAATTAGACATACCATGGAGGGAGGCATGGGCTTGGGACTTTCCTCCTAACTGATTTTAAAATTATGTTGTATGTGGTGGATGTATTTTATATTCAGGTATGAAAATAGAATAATGAAACCTATTGAAATTGTTCTAAGAAGGGGAGTGAGGGAGAATGATGGAGTGGGTGAATCTAATTAAAATATATTGTAAGCACATATGTGTATCACAATATACAACTATTATATGGTAATAAAATTTTTTTAAATTATGTTTTTGCTTATTTTTTAATAAGATTTTGCTTATTAAATTTGCTTATTTTTTAATGCTTTGGTCTTATTGGAGGCATTGTCTCAATGATGAAAACTGTTTTCTGAGTTTATACCATGGCATCATAAAACAGCCAGTTTATACCATGCCCTATACACGAGCTCTGCACCTGTAGCAATGCCTGCTGCTTGCAGAGCGCCTGCTCGAGGGTGCACAAGTGTTGACTCAAGCACAGCTGATCCGACTGAATGGCTGCGCTGCAGAAGGGTCCACTTGTTGCTTGAGTTGCTCTCCTAGCTCATGGAGAACAAAGAGGGAGTCCTTAGCTGTCCCCAGTCCTTTGAGAAGGTCCTGTAGGAGATGAAAATGTACCCATCATGAAACAGCATGGTAAGTGTGATGCCCAGTGTCTTTAGCTATTGGAAAAGGGCCACAATCTAGTTACAGGCAATTCATTATTGTTGTTGTTTGGAGAAAAGATCTCACTGTGAAGCATGGGTTGGCATGGAACTCACAGTCCTCCTGCCTCTGCCTCCCAATGCTGGGATTACAGGTGTACACCATAATTGCACCTGGCTAGATAGAGGCAGTTCTTAGTTGTCAAGTTGTTACACTAAGTGACTGTCATCTGCAGAAAAATGATCACGAATTGAATCCAAGTTTTAAAAATATGAACTGTATTTATTATTTTAAATTTATATATTATAAACTACATGTACATGTGTGTACATACTATGTATACATGTATGTGTATGCATCTATATCTATATCTATATATATGTATACATATAGACACATATACACACACTTCTGATAATAAAAGCCATATAGGTTCATTATAGGACACTGGGGATATGCAGCAAATCATATATAAATAAGAAAAAAAATACCATGAGCCACAAGTGGAGTCAGAAACTGGAAATATTTTGGCAGTTTTTTCCTGTTTATGAAACTGACATTAAATTGAAAATACAGTGCTATATTTTACATTTTTCTACTTATTTTTGCTATATGCATCAGAGATTAGTTTGTGCATACGTCTTCTATATGTGTAGTCACATTGTTGTACTAGTTACAACACCCTCCTGTATCAGTGAGGTGTAGAACCCAGGGATGGCTCAGGTGAACAGGAGGAACAGTCATCTGGACCTCCACTCTATTCCATAGCACCTCAGAGTTTTATGGAATTCTCCCAATATTATAAGCTAATGGAAATACCCTGTTTCTGGTTTCTATCCAGTACAAGTAGGGACTGCTACCTCTGCCTGGTGCCTTATCCTACCTGGACAGGATGAGGGCTACAGGGCCTGCTATGTCTGCATAGAATCGCTGTGAGAAAAAGACAAAGGGCCCCTTGTGCCTTGACACTGACAACAGTTTTGGTATATCTCAATTCAGAAGTGCTGATAATGGAACAGCTTGTAAAGATAAAGTGTGTGTACAGAAAGATATGATTATCTTTATTATAAATATAATTCTTCAGCTTTAAAGTGATTATTCAGGTTGAAGATCTAAACTTTTATTCTGCAGTTTGTATGACTTGCCTAATTTTACTTTTTTTTTTTTTTGGTGGTACTGGGGTTTTGAACTCAGGCCTTCACACTTGAAAGGCAGGTACTCTACTGCTTGAGCTACACATCCATCCAGTGACTTGCCTAATTCTAATGAACTGATTTGAGGAGATTTATAGGATCTTTGAACCAGGTTCATCAAACTAAAGACAAATAAAATGAATGAAATAAGAGAAGAATCTTTCTTGAAAACCTTAAGTAGGTTATTGGCAGCTACAGTGGAAAACAGAATTATTTAAAAGCTATTAAAAAGAAGCAAACTAGTGAATTGAGAAAGATTTCTTCCTACCATTAAATTCTGAAATGAAATGATTATATAGCTGCTTACACAGTGGATAACAAACATAAGTGGATGACATCTTTAAACATTAGATTTTTTTAAAAGACAAAACATTATTCCCATGTGTTCAATTTTTATAATGACCATCTTAGTAAAAACAGATAACCTAAATTTTTCATATGGATTATATTCTATTAGGAAAAAAGGGGGAGGAATACAATTCATCTTTCAAAAGACAACTGCATTCTTCAAATCTAGAAGGCCCTGTAATACATAGGACAATAATTTTTGGATAATTCACTCATATATTGAGACATATCCAAAGTTTATACATACTAGCATTAGCCCTGCTAAACTTGTGAAATTGAAGAAAAGCATGTTGGGGAAACCCAACAGTTGAACATACGTTATTGAACATAAGTTGCACATATCGAACATACACTGCAATCCTGAATCCATGTAGCAACTTCGTCATCAGCAATGTCCTTGTTAGTGGCAGCCTTGAGCAGTGCATTGGTGCGGTCCTCCTGCTGTTGGACTGCAGACACACACTGCTTGGAGTAGTCCTTGTATCTCTGCCAGAGCTGAAGGAGGGCCTTGCTGGAATGCAGCTGCTCAGCGATCTCTTCCAGCAAGTTATTCCATCTGGAAGTCATAGCCAACACTTACAGTAGTCTATCCTGTCTCACCAAATGCTGTTATTTACTACTTTATTTTTCATGATCCTAGTTCATGTGAATATGGAAATAATATAGGGATGACTCATTTCTGTTTGACATAATAAAAAGTAGCACATCACAGTCATATTTCAAGGGTAGGTAAGGGGAATGAGAACAATTTTCTAAATGTCTTCAGAATGATTTAAAAAATCATTTTGTGAAATTCAAAACAATAAGAGTCCTTAAGCTCAAATTCAGAATGTCAGAAAGTTTTAGTTATACTGTACTTATAATAAGACTGGTATATAAATAATGTCAAAGTCAGTCTACTTCATACCTTATATTGACTTCTTTCAGTGTATTGGTGAGAGTTTCTGTCACAGGTGGGTGACATTCTTTTAATAGTTGGTTGGTGATGGAGTCAAATTTCTGTAAGCTCATTTCCTGTCTTTCTAGATCATCATGAAGAGTCTGCCCAAAGAAAAAGGCCCACAAGTGACAAAACAGGATCTAATGAGTAAGCTAAAATAATTTACATACCACGCTGCGCGAGTATATCGTCCCTGCGGAATCGGACATAGGCGTCATCGTGTGCCGGCCGCGGAATGCGAGCGATTAATATAGGGATGAAGCGGACTCATATGAGGGAAGTTCGCTCACGCACTAGTAGACAGGATCAGATTCTGTGTGACAGTGGAACAGAACTGTACACCTATCGAGTACGATTACGAGGAAGGAAGAGAGAGGCGCGTCAGTGTAGGAGCGCCGAGGGAGACGCGGTTGCTGTCAGCAGTAGATCGAGTTTGATCCGCTCACTCGCTGTGTCTCGTAGGCAACACTTAGGCGCTGTATGTAGTAGAATTGTCGCATGATGATCTGGAATTTGCACGCACTATTTGATACGTGCGATCCGTGAGAGAAGGGTAGTAAGCATACAAATATACCATAGGTCTCTATTTTATTATGGCGCTGTAGAGTGGTCCTCGTCCTAACTCTTGAATAATGGACAGACTCGAGGTCATGGAGCGTTTGCTGAGTATCATCCCTACATTCTATTTCTGTGCAAAAATTTTTTAAGTTATAATTTTTTTGCATAAATGAAATAATTAAGATATATGATACGTGAGATACAATGTAATGATTATTGGAATAAAGTAGGGACGATTAGTTCGATAGTGAACGAAGTAGAGAATTACAGCTAATTTAGACGTGCTCTAGACGCTGTGTCGAGCGATGTTCTCATATGTCAATTGAAAATCTAATGTTGTATAGACTTCTGTAAGGTAGGGTCGCACAGACGAGGAGAGCGAGAAATGTGTGTACAAGAGGAGGTACGCAGCGTGGGGAATTGTGGGGTGGGGGCGGATGATAGGAGAGGTAGTGGTTCACGCTTCGAAGTGTGACATACGTATGTCGATACTTGAACTCTGCGTGAGGGGGATGAGTTATTGTATAAAAGAGGGAACGTTTACTACATGAGCGATATAAGCGCTCGCACGTGAATTGGTCTATGGATCGCTAGAGGATCTCTCGACGCCAGCGGTCGAGGTGATGTGATCCATGGAAATGTCACTGATGTGATAGATTAAGTTTGAAAAATTCCCACAGGTGATAAGGGCTGCAAAACCATAACCTACTTAACACGGCAATCACTCGACACTAGATAGAATGAAGGCTAACAGTTTCGATAAGTGAGCAGCGGTGGGAAAGGAGGTAAGTATTCATACTGCTGAATGAC